GGCAGAGGTTTCAACCATAGATCTTTCGTTTAGTCAGGGACTGTCCCCTTCAGAGTTTGAAAAGCAGCAACGAAAGCAAGCGAGTCCTGTCTTGCCTTTCTTTGGAGAGGGTCTATCACTTTAGCGTCTCCTCTTGTCCTTGAATTGGTGCTTAGCTTGGTGGATGTCCTGTTGAAATCACCTCAGCCGGCAGAAAGGGGGGGACCCTTTTCTCGTTGTTCGTTAGGTTCGAACGTCAACCAATAAATGAGTGCAACCTCATTTCGTTGATGATTGTGTTGTCCAACTGGTCGCCCTATCAGGGAAGATACCGAAGCAAAGACGCACGCACAAGGGAGGGTTTAGTTGCCCCCTTCCCCCGCGCAGAAGGTTTGGATTACGTAGCGCCATTCCCCGAACTAAAATGTCCGTATTTGCCGGCGGCTTTTGAACGGACGTTAACTTCTTGCCTGTTTTAGCGCTGGCTGGAACTTAATAGCTTGAATTTGGAAAGCTGTTTTGGCCAGTAGGATACCCCACCCAATATGCCCCAGGTGGTTTGTCTCAACATAGAGAACTCCAGAAACCCATGGTTTCTACAAGAGATCTTGAACCAGTAAGATTGAATTGGAGCTCTAAAAGTGATGATTTGTTGGGTGTCATGTTATTCTGCAGGGGAGTACCGAAAATTCCAGTTGGGCCTGCAAAACGGGCCGATGAGCGTTTTGAGGAAGATGTCGGGCGAGAAACTCGCGGATTTCTACGCCGACCTGTGTCGCAGCTGCATTTGTTATGGCAGATGGACCGGATCTGGCGTTTCCTCGCGGTTTTCTTCTGGTTTGTTTGTTGAGTTGATTAGCCTTTCTTAATCGGTGCCACAGTTTGTGTGTGGTGTGCGTCCTTTGAGTTGTTTTGGCGTTCTTTTGTTTTCAGACATGCTTGGATCTAGAGGCATGTTAAGCCAAATGATGATCACCCTTAAAGCAGCTCCTTTGGTGAAATTGAGGTGCAAGAACTACCCGCTGATCACCATCGAGGATCCTTTTGACCAGGACGTTTCCGCGTGGCACAGTCTGCGCGTTTGGTTTGCCCTCGGCTGCGATTAGTCTTTGGTTGGAACTTACATGCGGCCTCAAGGATTTGCCTTTCGGACCTCTTCCTCTCAAGACCAAATTGGTTGCCCCACTAAAAGTGGTATCAACCAAGACATGGTCCCCATTCGCATGGCAACTGGGCCATGGTTCTTTTCTTCTTTGGTGGGCCGAGCTCGGCCCATAGGACGATTGGGCGGCATGGACCACATTCACCAGCAAGGTGGGTGGACCTACCCAGGTGTCTTTGGCTGAGAAATTGTCTCATCAACCCAGCAGGCTCTCAGCGGAAAGGGTGTAATTGTATGGCGCCGTTTCGTTGCAAAAGCTGCCAAGTGGTCAGCACACCCGCTCAAGTGCACCCGCTCAGCACTGTACGCACGCCAGCCAAATGGAATCAAACCCGCTCAGGTGTGCCTGCTCAGCACTGCATGCACGCGTGCCAAAAGGTAAGCACACCCGCTCAAGTGCGCCTGCTCAGCACTGCATGCACGCCTGCCAAATGGTAAGCACACCCGCTCAAGTGCACCCGCTCAGCACTGACGCACGCCTGCCAAATGTAAGCACACTCGCTCAAGCGCACCCGCTCAGCACTGTACGCACGCCTGCCAAATGGGCAAGCACACCCGCTCAAGCGTGCCTGCTCAGCACTGACGCACGCCTGCCACATGGTAACCGCACCCTCTCAAGCGTGCCTGCTCACGCACGCCTGCCGAATTGTAAGCACACCTGTGCACGCACGCCTGTCAAATGAGCAAGCGCACTCGCTCAAGTGCGCCTGCTCACCACTGTATGCACGCCTGCAAAACGGTAAGCCCACCCGCTCAAGCGCACCTGCTCAGCAGAGTGCACCCCCTCACCACTGTACGCATGCCTGCCAAATGGCAAGCGCACCCCCTCAAGTGCACCCGCTCAGCACTTCACGCCTGCCTGCCAAATTGTAAGCACACCCGCTCAAGTGCGCCTGCTTAGCACTGCACGCACACCTGTCAAATGGTAAGCACACCCGCTCAAGTGCACCCGCTCATCACCGTAAGCACGCTCAAGTGCACCTTCACTGCATGCATGCCTGGCACGCTCAGCGCTGACTCACGCCTGCCCAATGGTAAGCGCACCCGCTCAAGTGCACCCGCTCACCGCTGCGCCACATGGAACACGCTCAGGGCTGTAGGCGCGCCTGCAACATGGTAAGGACACCCGCTCAAGTGCACCCGCTGAGCACCGTACGCACGCCTGCCACATATTGCCACCTCCTTTTTTCTTTGGGGGACACATGCCCTTTAGATAGTGCTGTATTTGTTGTTTTGTCTTTTTTGCCCGGGATGGCGGGCGGGTATGCCTTTTTGCTTGTATTTCCCGGGTGCTGGCACTGTGTCGGCACCTTTACCACGAAGGCGCTATAAAGGGGGTTGCAATTAGATAGGCACAACAGGGAATGGGTGAAGAGACCTGCAAGCTCTCAAAACCCCAATCTGACCTGGTTGCTACTGCCACCAAGAGAGCAGGCTGTGTAAGGAAAATGGGGGTATGTACCCTGTATATACCACACACACACGCAAACTGGATATCAGGGGGGGGGCTGGTGGCTTGCGGCTAGTCAACGTCCATGTGTCGCTTGGTCAAACAGTTGACTTACGCTGCAAATGAATGCAAGGAACCCAATGCGAAACTACTACGAGGAACGCAAACACAATGCATGGACATGTAGTTGGTGGCCCCAGCGTTCCCCGAAAGGAGAGGCCAAGATGTTTTTACATCTCTGCAACATGTGCGCAAACCTTGCAGTACGAAGTACTGTGCGAAGTGCACTTCCGCAGCCAGCTTGAAAGTCGCAACTTGCGGTCCGATCGCCATACAGGGTTTTGCACAGTTCGAAGATGCTATAACCAACCGCTCTTTCTAAAGTGGTGTTTGTAAGTTTTGTCCTTTGCTTGACGTTCTCACAAACAGACATAAAACAATGGTCCCCTTGGTTGTTGCTGGGAATTTGGGTGGTACCCCGATGTCCTCCTCAGACCAACAGTGCACTACCAGTGTGTCAGTGACTCACCTGGAGCATCCCCTCCTTGACAAAGGATCAAGGGGTGGGGTTAAGGTACCCCAATTCCATCTATCGGGTCTTCCCAAAAAGGCAAATGTCACCCTGCAACAAATGGCATTACAAGTATGTTCAGTCCCTTCAAAGTAATCTTGCCATGCAAAGGAGTACTGCAGATGAAAGCTCCAGCATCTCCTGTTGAAATCGCACTTTCAAAAAGATAAGAACCCCCCAAAACGAGAATGTTAAACAATTCAAGTCCAAGCAAGAGGCTTTGTCAGTCCCTGGTTTGTGATTTTGTCGGTTCAGGTGATGCTTGGTTGTTTGTCCCTAATTGCTTTAAAAGGGTCAGAGTCATCATGGATGATGCACCAAAGACCGAAACAAAGGGGATCCAGGATTAAGCACCCCCTGTTGATTGATAGGGCTGTCCCATCTGAGAAAAAGTCCTTCACATTGTTCGGGCCATGTTGATCCACCGATAGGGCAAACTGTTTTCGGATGCTCGTCGAACAGTGAGGGGACACCAATCCACCGTGGGCCATATTTTTGGATACCCCAGAAAATCGGAAAAGGAACCAAATGGAAACCAACAGGAAACCAACCAAAAGGAAACATCCAAAAGGAAGTCAGGTCTATTTAGAATACGGATCTTTAGATGCATCGGCTCAGGTTAGCCCATTTTGGACCATAGCGGCGGCACGCATGGCCTAACAAAAGGCGTAAGTGTCCCCTTGGTATGCCAAACGGGTCCCAAACAACGGTTCAAAATGGCCACCCCGCACTGGCTCAGGTGGTTGGAGACGACCTCACAGTCACCAACGTGTCCCGCGTGAAGAAGGCCATTGACGACAAGGCCTGCAACGCCCTGCTGCTGAAGGTGAACCAGATCGGCGACTAGGCATACTACTTGCCCATGGCGAGCTATAGAGGTACAACCAGCTCACCGTGATGTAGGTCCTCTACCCGCGGATCCTTTATATCAAGTTTTGGAATCAAGCCCAGCTACCCCCCAAAAAAATAAATAGAGGGAAAACATCTGAGGATTTAGAATGGAGGAGCGGGGTACTGTTGAGTCCAAGCGCGTGATGCCAGGACAACAATCTGTGTGTGGTTCCTGTAGCCCCTTGTTGTTCCTTTTTGAAACTGCTGAGGTGGGAATCCGTATATTCAAGTGGATTCCCAAAGTAGTGCGGCTTCCCGTGGGTTTCTTTTTTATCTAACCCGCCTTTTTTGAGCGTCTTTCAGGTAGTAAGTTACAGTTTGCTTTTTGCTCAGGCCAATATGTGGTTCATTTCATGGTGCCTGTCTTGGCTTGGGAGCTTCCATTTACATTGTTGAGATTCGCAGTGAGGCCATACCTTTGGAAGCTTGCGGTGCCTGGCAGAATTTGGGACTCATCAGCGAATCCCTCGTTCTCCTTGAAAGATCGTTTTCAGACCTTTACGCTCCGAGAAACCTGTGTGGGTGTCCTTTCTTTGTTCTTGCTGCCGTAACATGTCTGCAGACCATATCCACGCGGGAACAACACGTACACTTTTTGCAGGGGGTCCAAGTCTGCCCATCGAGTATTATATTATAAATACATATATATATATATATGTGGGGAAGCCCCTCATTTACGCCATGCATAGGTGCATGCAACGAATGGTTGGCGGGCGATTCCCAACTTCACTACTGAGAACGAGCAAGCTAGGGCACACCTCCCTGGCACCCCCTCCCTGTCATGGACAGACACATAGTGGTTTGTAGAAACCACCCTCTTTCGGGTTGGAGGTTCTCGGGCTGAATCAGGCTGAATCTGCAAAGTAGCGTTGAGATATGTCCAAAGCAACCCTGAAAAGCCTACCAAAAAAGGGGGTTGCAAAATTGGGCAGAAGTGGAAATCGCAGATGCACACTTGAACTAACTTGTCAGAGACAACAGCTTGATGCCACATTTTGGCTCAAGCTGCCCTTCTTACTTGAACCTGTAAGTTGTGACAAAAATTCCCCTTAACTCCTCTCTGCCATGTCTTCCTCTCTGTTTGCCCCCAAGTACGCTGCGGACATCGCCTCGGCAAAGGTTCGCGCGGCTGATCCTGTCAGGCGATACCTGGCGAAGATTGTGAAGAAGGAGGATGAGGGATGGGCAGTTCTTGCCTCGGAGCCGGAGGACCGAGCGTCCTCCTCCGACCATTTCATGTCCGCGGCCGAGGACCTGGCCTTCACCGACGCGGAGCAGCTGCCCAAGCGCCCGCGGATCTCGGAGGACCAGGTGGACACCATGGAGGTTGAGGGGGCGGACAACCCCGCGGATGCGGACAAGGCCGCCCCGCCGGCTGAGGGTGACGCCCGGGTGCCTTCGGCCCCGACAGGCTCCCCTCCCCCGGTGGAGGCCGCGACTTCTTCCTCTTCGGCCGCTGCCCCCCTGGTTGGTGAGAGTGATGCCCGGGTGCCTTCGGCCCCGACAGGCACCTCGGCCATCCCGGGGGTCTTCGTTCGCACCCTGAAGGTGGCGGACGGCGTCTTCAAGGTGGATCCCAAGCAATGGGATGTGGTCCTGCCGGAGTTTGGGGCGCTACCCGCCTCAAGCGCATGGTGCTTGAGGAGGTCAAGCGCCTTCTCGCGGGGTTCAACTTGGAGCACATGACGCGGGGTGGCCTGGAGCGCATCGTGGAGGCGTTCTACCTCGCGAAGGTGAAGTACGCGCACGTCAAGCGTCTCAGGACGCCGGGCCAGAAGGTTGGACAGCGCAAGGGCCTGGGCTATGGTACGTTGGAGGACAAGCCGGTGGACTACCCTGATCTGCCCGCTTTGCGCCATGCTGTGGGTCAAGCTTGGTGCGGCCACCCTGGAGGTCAATGGCCAGGAGTGGCAGCTCACGGTCACGGCGGATGGCAGCACCGCTTGGACCATCGCCACCCGGAGGACGAGAACGCCACCATGGACCAGAAGATGGCGGCGAGTGTCGACGTCAGCGAGCTGGCGCAGGCGCCGCTTCCGGCTGAGAATGAAGAGCAGGTCTGTCATGGAGTTGGACCCCGAGTTCTTGGCCAAGGACCCGCGCTTCCAGCCCCCGAGGAAGGAGGACCGGGAGGAGCCAGGAGTGCCGAGCCTTCCACCCGGCCGCGGTCAAGGCCTTCACAATCCAGAAGGCCCAGCACCGTGGAGCGCAGCATGGCCGTCCTGCATGAGATGCAGACGGGGGCCATGGAGGACCCGGCGCTGGATCCGAAGCGCCTGGACCTCGACCTCCTGCCTGCGTAACCGCCTCCTGGAGCGGTTCGGGGAGGAGTGGGGCCGGTCGGTCCCGGATCTTATGGGGCCCAGACCTCCGCGGAGGCGGCCAGGGCCCAGAACCTGGCCAGGCAGAAGCAGGGCAGGACCCTCACCCGCCTCCTGGAGCCCCTCCGGTTCTCCTTCGAGGCCTGGCCCGCCAAGGTCAAGGAGGCCATCGGGGGTGTTCGAGCCCACCATATGGCCTGGAGGGACTTCAGCCGCGACGACTTCCACTCCCTCACGGAGAACTACCTGGCGGCCAGGGACATCATCTTGGAAGGCCGGAACCCCTTCCCGGCCGCCCTCCTCCAGGAACTGCCGGATCTTGCCGGGGGCCAGCGCACGGGTGCCGTCGGCCCCGATATGCCGCCCCCGCACAGGGACAGGGAAGTGGCGCAGGTGCCATCGGCCTGCCCCTCCCAGGACCCGGAGACGCAGCTGGCCGTCCTGGATGATGACCAAGCGCCAGAGGTCCCTCTCCACGTCCCGGAGTGGGCCAAGGCCATGACCACGCCAGACCTGGAGATCCTGGAGCGGGGTACCCACCACCGCAACGGCGCCTCGGCTATGGGCGCGCCACACGGTGGACGAGCTCAACCAGCAGGCCAGGGACGGCCAGCGCCCCTTCCCCAAAGAGGTGCAGGGACTACCACTGGGCCCGGCAGGTCACCACCTGGGACCTCCCCTCGCTGCTCCACACCTTCGGGCACAACTACACACTCAAGTGGGAGGCGCTCCCTCTCCTCCAGACGCCCAACAGCGAGGCAACGCCACGGCCTCCCAGAAGCGCCTGGACGACTACCTTGTCATCAAGGAGGAGGCTCAGGACTTCCTGGAGAAGGAGGGCCTCCCCAAGCCAGTCCGGGCGGAGGAGTGGCGCATGGTCTACCGGGCCATGGGGCGTGTGCTCGCCGCAAGCCGCTGCTTGGAGCTTAGTGATGCCTTTTTGGTGGACGAGTTGGCCCCCCCTTTTCTCTCCCCCCCTTTTCCCGCGGGTTCGGGGCTTTTGGGGTGGTTTCTGGGGCTGGCTCCTCCCCCCCGGTTGTCCCTTCTTTCCCCCCTGGTTTTAAGGTTGGGGGGGATCTGTTCCTGAACTTGCTTGACTCTCAAGGGCCCGAGGCCACAAGTGGATCCGATGGTGGCAACCAAGGCTGCTATGTGCATTCGGCCGTGCCTTCGTAGAGCTCCCATCTCATGTCCAACTTGTCTTGCATGACCTGGGGCTTGCTCCGGTCCAAACCGATGGGGAGGCCCTGAATTTGAGCTGCTTGGAGTGGGTGGATGGTGCCAACCCCCCTGAGGATCGGCCACCGCTCACACCTGACGCCTGGGTCCCCGTTGTGGGGCCCCCGCCATTTCCCGGGGCGGTTTTGGTCCCCACGCAACTCACTCAGCTCATCCTGGCCAGGACGCTTGGGGCTATGCCCCAACTGGTGGACCCCTTGGATGTTCACCGCATCATGGAACTCCTGAAGTCCCTCCTGCGGCGCGCGGCTGGGGCGCGGCTTTCTTCCACCTTCACCAACCTTGACATGCAGCGCTCCATCCGGGACAGAGAAGACTGGTTCCTGTGCAGCACTCCGGCGGCCCCGGACCTCGCAGCGATTGCAGGCAAATGGAGGCACTGGAAACCAGGCAAGGTTTCGAACAAGCTCCCAACATCCCAACGAGCCCTGGACATGGAGCTCAAGCGGAGGTGGCTGGAGCGGACCCTGGGGCTTCATTCCATTCAGGACGCAGGTGCCATTTATGGCTCAGGTGATGGGCCAGAACGAGCTCACTGAGTGCCACTGCCTGGCATATGAGAACATGCGCAAGCTGGGCTTCACAACGGTGCCCGCCAGCTCATGAACCGGCTGGCCGAGCTTGAAGTCCCGCCAACCAAGTTCCAGGCTTGGTGGGGGACCCTCAAATGGCTGTCCAAGAAGCTGGGGCTCCTCAACGTGGACGAGCACCGACAGCTTCAGGAGAAGAAGAAGGCGCTGCAGGACAGCCTTGTGGACACGCACGTCAAGCCCCAGAGGAAGGCAGTGGTCCCCTCTCAGGAAGTGGTGTGGGCCTTGGAACAAGGAACGGAGGGGCGGGCGCAGTCCGCCCTTCCGGAAGCGTCCCGTGCAGCGGACCAATTCATTCTTGCCCTCGCCAGGTTCAACATTGCGTCCAGCGCACGCTTCAGCGACATCCAGCACACCTCCCCAGCCAGCATCAAGCTCACAAGCAACACGGTGGAGTTCATGGCTCTGGGGCGCGATGGTGGCTGCCGCTGCAGGCCTGGCGGAAGCGCTTCCAGGCAGCGCCTCAGTTCAAAGACATGGACTACCTGCTGCCCACCGTCAACCAGGCCTGGTCGGCCTGCCACTCATGAAACTGATGCAGGCGTCCGTAGGTGCCTTGGTGACCTGGGCTGAGGTCTCGACCCAGAAGAGACCCCGCCAGAATTCCGGCAGATGTGGCACCGCCCCCGAGGGGGCCCCTGCGAGTGGTGGCCACCACCACCAAGAAGGGGGACCCCAAGAAGGCCACACTCCACTTGCTGGACACCGACGGAGTGGCGGTGGGATGTGGCTGGCATATGCGGGGGAACCAGGCGAGTACGCCAGCTGCGGACGCTGCTTCACGCACTTCAGCCTCCCGGCAGCCTGGATCGCGGACGACCCCGAGGTGGGATCAGACTCGTCTGCGCCCTCGGCAGCCTCGGACACAGATGACAGTGTGGACACCCTCTCCGACAAGGAGGCCATCATCCTTCCCCCTCCAGATCAGGGAGAGTGACCTTCTCCGGACCGCCTCCGTGTGCACTGGCCTTCGATCCTTGTGCGAAAGGTGCAACCAGACTTCCCAGCCTCCAGCCATGACTAGGCTCGGGGCCCTTTTTGAGGACTTGGTCCCAGCTTCTTGTGGTGTAGACGTCCGCTGTGTGGACTCCTTAAACCAGTTGCCCAGGTACTGCCGCTGCTCCCGGAGTATGTGGACCTGGAAGGCGCAGTCCGGCATGAAGACCCGGAAGGAGCGCCATGTCAGAGGCGAGACCTCCGAAGTGCGTCCTTCAGCCACCGGAGAGGTGGACCATCCTTTTGCTCCCAATTGGCGGCACTAACCCGATCTACGGACAAAAGAGTGCGGAAGCATGAGAGTGACGGGTTGATGGGAGCATTTGCTTGTGGTTGGCATGTTTGGATTTTGCTTGCATTGTGGTTGTCTTGTGCTTTCTTGATTGCATGCATTGCAGCAGTAGCGCGTCAATGCTTTGCTATGAGAAGTTTGGAGTGGAAATCGCAGATGCACACTTGAACTAACTTGTCAGAGACAACAGCTTGATGCCACATTTTGGCTCAAGCTGCCCTTCTTACTTGAACCTGTAAGTTGTGACAAAACCCGCCCACCCACACCATGGCTGCAGATCCGGCGACAATCGCGCCACCTGCTGCAGTACCAGCGAGGACCTCTCCCGCCTCCACAAGGGGTCCGGAACCTCCTTCCTCAAATCTATCCCCTGGTCGGTCCAGGCCCAGCTCTCCGCGGATGGGTTCGTCACCATGGATGATCTCGCCACCAGGTGGGCAGACGAGCTCGGGTTTGCGCCAACACCAATGGCTTCACGGCGGTGTCGTCCCGGCTTGTGGCGGCCCGCCTCTTCCAAGTGGTCATGGCGGCCCAACAGGCCACTGAGGTTGGCGCAACACCGGCGGCCCGAGGGGGGGGGCCTGCCCAGGCCGGCACCCCCCACCTGGACACAGCCTGCGAGAGAAGCATGCTGGAGCAGGTCTGGGTGGAACAGACCGGCGCCCCCAAGCCAAGACTCGCTCTTCAGGGCAGCGACCAGCTTCTCAAGCGGCAGTTCAAGTTCTGCGCAAAAGGGGAAATTGGGTTCATTCCCTACAAGTACCTGGTCAGCGCACTGCCGGAGTCAGGCGAGCGACCCTACCACAGCAAGCAAAGGATCACTGTGGATGGCTGGGAAAAGGAGGAGGAGATTGAGGAGCGGGGTTCCCCGCTCCCGCCAATCCTTGGAGAGGATGCACACGGCATGTTTGGATTTTGCTTGCATTGTGGTTGTCTTGTGCTTTCTTGATTGCATGCATTGCGGCAGTAGCGCGTCAATGCTTTGCTATGAGAAGTTAGATTGTGCAAAATACATCGGGTTTGGGTCTTGGTTTGACCAAAAAGAACAACGCACAAGTGTTATCATTCGATTTGCTCACCGTATTTCTCTCGTGGCCAGCCCAAGTCTACCGAGGCACCGTGTCAGAGTCTATCGAGGCAGTGAAGCTCTGTAAGAGCAACGGCTGGGGGGTGATGTGCTCCCACCGCTCCGGCGAGACTGAGGACCGGATTGAATGTGACAAGACGTGACCGGATGTCGTTCAGTTGCGCCTGATATCGCAGCGGCCCTCAGGGTTGAAACCTGCTTGGGTTACCAACGGTGGTTATTCAAGGACTAGGCCCGGGGCTAAACTGTGCAGAGGGAATTGATAGCCACCAACAATAGGCAGATTTGCTTAATTTGGCCTAAAGGACACCAGGTAATTATTCCGTGTTTGCAGATACCCTACTCAGCACCCAGGAATGTTACCTTGGGTCAGGGAGGCTTTGGCCTTCGAATTGTGTGGCTGTCAGATTGGCCGGTCCAGGACTTTTCAACGCTTGTCTCGGCCTTCTTACCCTGATGTCAGGACACTACTATTGCGGACCTGGCAGTGGGCCTTTGCACGGGGCAAATCAAGACCGGGGCGCCCTGCCGCTCTGACCGCAACGCCAAGTACAACCAGCTCATGCGCATCGAGGCCTTCCTTTGAGGGCTATTGTTTGTTTGTTTGCTTGTTTGCCTGTTTGTTTGTCTGTCTGTCTATTTGATTGTTTCTTTGTTTGTTTGGTGTGGGGTGGGGTGGGGTGGGATGGGGTGGGTTGGGGTGGGGTGGGGTGGGGTGGAGTTGGGTGGGGTAAGGTGGGGTGGGGGTGGTGTTGGGTTGGGTTGGGGTGAGTGGTTGGGTGGGTGGCTTTGTTGCTTTGTTGGTTCGCTCTTTTTCTGTGGTGCCTTCATTGCTGCCTTCTTTGCTGGCTTCTTTGCGGGTTTGCTCGCCTGCCAGTTTGCCAGTTTGCTTGCATCTTGATTTGCATCTTGTTTGCTTATATGCTTGTAGAGGTTTATGTTTTTGATATTGTGTTTGTGCTATTGTGATCGTGTGTTTCTCTTTTTTGTTTCATTTCGGCAATTGAGGATGTATTGCGTGTATGACATTGATCGGTTTGCATCTGTTCTTTGCTGCATGGTCTGTCTGTTGGCACAGCCCCTTTTGGCGAATAAGACGAGTTCTAGTTGCTGCTGCCCCCTGAGGAGGAGCTGGGTGACAAGTGTGCCTATGCAGGTGAGACTTGGCGTAAGCCGGTGTGGATGTCTTAAATCCCAATTGATTTTGTGACAGGTGTCAAAAGGCTCAGAACCGTCCCCTCTATTTTTGTTTGTCAAAGGTTTGAGATAGCCCCAAATCCTGAACATGATTCCCTAACAAGTTTCAAGAGAAGGTGCCCGTAGGTATTGACACATTCCCATTTTAAGAGGCCTAGCACGTCTCGTGCTTTGCCTCCGCCTCGCGTTTCAACACAGCTCTTCGCGTGCTCAGTCTTTACGGCGCGCCCCACCGGCCCCGAAAGGGCCCCGGCTCGACGGTAAGGCCCTCGCTTTACGGCATGTGATGAGAAAAGTTGCGGCCTAAGCGAGCTCATTTACCTGCATAGCTAGCCGCTGGCTAGCCAGAGGACCTGTGTTTTGACAACTACAATATTCTGTTGGGCGACCTACAGGAAACTAGGATCCACTGGGTCAAGAAAATATACAGTGTCTCAAACAAGGGAAGGAGGGTTTCATGTTGTTGTCCTTTACTTTGTGCATTTTGCTTGGCTGTTAGGACTTTGACTTTTTGCCAACTAATGGGTTTTCCACTAAACTAATGGGTTTTCCACTAAACCACTAAAAGTTAAACTTTTAGCAGGGGAGCAGAAAGCAACTGAGGTTTTAAGTAGATCTGAAGCTCAGGGGTGGTTGACTTCCCAAAACAACCAACCCGGTTTTTAAGTCCTTCTTGGTTGTCAAAAAGTGGAACCCGGAAGGACACTCCCAAATGGGCGTTGGGCTCCTTTTGGTTTTCTTTGAACCTCAGTGGGACCGAGCCCAAAACAACTAACATGTAGGACCTGCAGGCCCGGGTTTGGCAATGCGATTGCTTGGGGATAAAGCGAGTTGAGGCGGCCCCAATGAAGGTAGCTTACTCAGTGCTCCTCAGGCTGATGAAATTCTGGCGGTCCGAAGTTGGTGGCAGAGGGGCCCACTCCAAAAGGGACCTACACTTCGACTGCGAGGGGATCCCTTCATTTCCACCACAAAGTTGAAAGGCATGCCCTGAGTCGCGAATGAGAAGGGCAGTACCGCAAGGCTCTGAGGTTCTGCTCTAGGGACTCTTTTTGGAGGGTGGGGATGTCGATGGAAACCAAGATACCACGCAAAGGCACCCCGAGACCCATCAAGACTTGGGGCTCTGGTGATGCGGTCTCAAATGGAACCAGACAACCAACAGGGGTCCCCAGAGTTCCCTTTCGGTGCTGTTAAATATCACTGCTGGGTCAACGCTTAGTACTGCACAAAATCAAGTGTCGCCGTTTACCAGAATTAGTCTACAACAGATTTATATCCTAGATGTGTTTTTTTTGACGAAGCATGTTGATACACCTTTGGCGAGACAAATAGAATCACCCTGCCAAAACTCAAGGCGCAAACGTTCAGTGTACCTGTAGAGGATTGTTTGAGACCTACTGGGATACATAGGGAAGGTGTGTCCCCCCAAATGTGAAGGTCAAACCCGAGGCCGGGCTCCCGCGGAACTCCAACTCGGCTCGGCGCGGTCTCCCCGGATCCGGTTTTCGGCGAGAGGAGACCCTGGTCTGCGCCACTGACGCGGGGGGCGCCAAACGCACCCGGAAGATGGCCGACGAGCTCCAGGCCTCGGAGTTGGCCGTCACCGGGTTGCTGAGAAAGCATGTATCAGAGAAGCCAATTAAGTATGGGTCAAAAACAAGCCACCAGAAAAAGCCGCAGGGTTTAGTCCATTCCACTTGCCAGGGTTCCACGTGTCCCCGCTGATTCATTTCTCCAAAATTCAACGCCCAGGAGACCTCCGGTTTGGTTCCACGGCCATCGGGTCCAGTCACAAAGTCACCCAAATGCCAGCTGGTCTAGAACATCGAAGTATATCCAAGTAGTTTGTAAAGAAGGTGTTTTTGGATTTTTGTGTGGGGAACCCTCCCTGTTGAAGGACGTTTTGCCGCAAAGGCGCTCTCTGCGTCTCTTTTATGATTTTGGCTTGGCTCTTTGCTCTTTAGTAAAGTTTATATAAATGTGGAGGTTGCGCTATGCGCTTTCGCCCAACCGCAGCCCTCAGGGTGTGGCTCAAAACTAATGACCCAGGCTGGACAGTAGACTTGGCGATCGTTTTGTATCGATTTTGCTTCTACAAACTGCATTAGTTGAGCCACAGCTGTTCCAAAAAAAATGCAGGATTGGTTTAAAGGGAACCCGAAGCCGATTTTGCGGGTTCTACACCTAGTTGGGTTAGAAAAGCCCAACTCAGCCAGCCGCCTGTTTTATCACCCCACAGCCTGCGGCGACAGGGGGAGAGGGTTGGGGAGTTGGAAGCAACCCATTTGGCACAGCCTTTTTGTTGAGGCTCGGTACCCTTTTTGGTTCAAATCGGGGAGACCCCAATTTGGTGTTTCAAGGAACACAATTTTGGGGTCCGCAAGTTTGAGAAGCACCAGTGTTCCTGGAGTGCACGCCGGTTGAGTGATTCTATTTGCGAATAACTAACCTTGCACATGCTTGCTACTATATACGTAGGCAACTGGCATCCATCGGGTATTTCGTTTTGTGTGTGTGTTTCTCCAAAGGGACCCTTCCTCCAACATGGAAGCTCACGCCAGGGCCCCTAAGAAGAAGACACATGGTCAGGTTCCATGTTAATCAGGAGGTGAGGGGTTGACTTTCAGAAGTAAAAAACATTTCGGGCTTTCTTTCTGTTTAGCAATATGGCCTTGGAAATGAAGGTTCAACATCGTGTCGTTGTTGTTAGTTTTCATTGGTTGAAGACTGGAGGTCCACCTACCCCAAAGGAACCGCCAAAAGGAACATTGCAGGGAAATTAAGCAGCCCATTGAAAATGCCGGTATTCGACAGCAGGGATCCCTTTAAGATTTCTATTCGTGTCACAAGTCAAGCCCTCCGTGGTTGGCTTTTCTATGTGGGGTATCTTCCCTCGTTCCGACCAAGCCTAGTGCCAAAAGTCAGGCAGGACATCTGACAAAGACCAAGAAGCTCCAAGGACACCAGAATCGCACACCCAAAGTGAGAAAACCCAAAGGGACATCCCCAAACATTGCTTGGCTCGGCTGAAAACCAAAAGGGACAAGTGCAGCTTGGCTTGGTGCCCTCCATTTGCTTAAGATGTTTTGCTTTATTTATTATTTATTTATTTATATATTTTCCCTGTTGGTTTTAAAGGGAATCTATCACTACTGGATTCTTTTTCCAGGGGTCTTAACCAAATGGAAGGTGCGTTTCCAGCATCGGCTTTTGGCTTGCGAGGTGGGCTTCATGATGGCCGACAAGTTCAGACCCAAAGCTGGTGAGGTCGGTCAGGCCTTCGGAGCGCGGGTCGGCCCAGTTTTCGAGGCCACAAAAAGGAAGCGCCCACAACGCATGGCAAAAAGGGGCACCCTGGCTTTGATAGGGTTTGGCCTTTTACATGTGTGTGCCATGTGTTTTGTTTTGTGTTTGCGGGGAAAAGCAGGGCCGCCTACAAGTGGACTTTGACGCCAGTTGTTTTTCTTGTCGTGTTGTTGTTTTTGTTTGTGCGCGGGGGGGTTGGGGTGACATGTCCGAAGGTGACGCAAAGCCCAATGGCTTGTCAACCACGGTGGAAAGATAGTGTGAATCTGGGATTGTCCTTCTTGAGGGTTCCCTCATTGCAGTGGCTTCAGTGGGAGACTTGACAGAAACCACCCATTTGGAGCAATAAGAGATAACCCTACACAGGCAAGTCCTTCAAATATCACTGCGCTTCCCCACATACTTAGCAATTGACAAACGAAGCACTCAGGTTTGAGAGCGAAGTTGACCACTTGTTTTTTTTTGGCAGGTGAAGATCATCTCAGATGCCTCGCTGAACCCAACCAACGTCATCATCGTGGATGACATGCGCAGTGCTCAAACCGCGAGTTTGGGGTCAGAACCGGTCACAAGGGTGCCCGTATCCGCCCAACAAAAAAACATTTAGTTTGTTGAAACGGCGTCCTGATTGAACGGGAAACCAAAGCGAGGTTGTTTGAATCATGAGGGCAGCATCTTGTCTCAAACTTCGGGACGACCCCTTCCAAACTGAGCTCCTTCAACCTAAACCCCCTGGAAGGTAACCCTGAACCAACAAATATGTGTTGACACGATGAGTGCCTGGTCGTTGAAGGCGAAACCAAGAGGAGATCGGGAACAGAATCCTTTGAAGCAGGGGGAAGCATCGCAGCTTCTATGTATGAGTCACGGTGCTCCGACAACGAGCCCCTACTGCAGGAGACCCTAAAAGGGTTCTAATGAAAGGGGTTCCTGAGGAGATTGAAATCAGAAATTATCGTTGTGATGGTCATGCTGCAGCAATTCATCTGACATAGGATGGAGGCTGCCAAAATCATGAGGTTTTATTGAATACGATCTCTCTGAAAGAACAAAGCAGTATAACGGCTCCATCATGTAGATGAAACATATATAGATTCATCAAAACCATATGTACCAAGTCCATACTTGCTTGGTCAACATACCATGCTTCAATAATCTGAAATCAGGAACCTGCCAGAAAGGCATAAGAAAGGCAAAGCCCTTTGTTGGGCCACGATTTCAGCCGCGCATGTGTTTGAAGCACCTGGCGGGCGTTCCCAGGGTTTGAACTCCGGTCGATAGAATCCACAATTCTGACTTTGGGTTGACGGGCGACAAAAGAAAACTCAGCACCTCCAGATTCCCTAAATGCAACTGTTTACCCACAGGGTCGGGCATTGTTTTGGTCTCCCGGAGCCGTTTTAGTCGTGACACACCCGCCATACTAGGATATGTGTCATTTGAAAGCAGGCTAGGCAGCCAGTTTGGTGCTGGTTTTCAATGAGAGGCCACAAAGAAACTATTTGTCTATAGTTGCCAACCATGCTTTCCAGGAATCCTTCTTCAGAAAGTGTGCGGTGAAAAGAAGAGGCATCAACCGGGCGACCTTTCGACTCTTGGGCCCTGTATGTTGGAGGAATGTGGTACAAAGGGTAGTGACCATATATGACAAATCCCAAAGTTTCAGCCGCAAGGTTAGGCCATTGCCACAAAAAAAAATGGCTTGAACAACACCCAATGCTTGGCCAACTTGGTAAAGGGTTGTATAATCACTCCCTTTATGGTTTCATTTTTCTGGGAGGTCGAGCACCTTGAGTTGCGAATACTGTAAGCCTTTGGGGGGCATCTAGGTTTCTTTTGGGGGGCTGGCCTCCTGTGAGTACGCCGAAAGAGGGTCACACAGCTTCCCCCCAAGCACCTGCGAGCGAGTGAAGCGTTTGGCATATACACTTTAAAACGTAAATTTGTTTGCAAAAGTATTCGCAGAGGCGTCGCATAGTATTGGAGTTGAGCAGCGGTTTGGCGGATGAATATCTCACGTGAAGTTTCCTGACTACCACAAGCGCCCTTGGAGAAAGTAGTGTGATGCCCCATCACCCCCAAGTAATGTATGCGCAGGCGCGGGCAACCTGTTTCCCTAATTTTCGCGGTTTTCTTGGGGGGCCATCCTCCCCCTCAGCCGCCTTCGAGGTTCGACACCTGCGGCAGCCTGGTGAAGGTCGTCGAGGCCGTGCGCACCTTTGCGCCCGAGGCGCCGCGGCCGCGGCGCGCGCATCGGACCGGTGTCGCCACGAATGGATTGATCATCCCCGAGGGAAGTTGGAGCGACGCTTGGCTTGGTCTATGGAATTATGTTGCTTCATGGGTATTCTAACAGGAAACAGTTTTGTGATTTCTTGTATTTGAGATGTGCTGCACAAAGGCTTACTCGCCAGATCAAGATGGGAGCTATACAAACCACCATAGAGGAATCCCCTTTGGGGATCGGACCCCATCCTTGGCTCCATGTTAATGTTAATTAGTTTGCAGGGGAGTAACCCAAGACTGAAAGTCCCAACAGAACCTGCCAAGGCCACTATTCCGCAGCGCAAGACTCTGTATGGATTTCACGATCAGAGGTTCTGCTGGATCCGTGACCCCGATTTGGATGAGCATTGCTTGGCATTTACTGAGCTCAACCGCACCGTGCACACCGCAAGCGTGCCTTTCCTAAGGGAAGTTTGGCCCGATAGCCCGGATACCACTGCTTTGGAGAGTGAGCTTGTTACATTCATTATGATGGTCAGTGATGTGTTGACCAATTGGGAAACCGTACTTTTATTGGATGGTCCAAAAGAGATAGATATGCTGCAATGAGGGCTTGCCCCTGCTCTGATTCCCCTGCAAGGAGGTCACCCCATTTCATGGCCTCATACATGAAAACGAACACAGCTTGCTTAAACACATCATGTATTGTCAGCTGACTTTTGCTGTCATTGCCCGGTCTTTGGGCGCCAAGATAACGTAAGCGCTTCTCTATGTTTGTTAGCATGTTCAATTGGCTTGATGGGCTTTGCTTCTGCTTATGCTCCAACCCACACATGGTTTTCGTGACCCGTAAATGGTGGTATAGGGTTGTTCAACCACTGGGCCATTCTTGTGATCCCTCCTGCTTTGCCGGGATTCGCCAATAGTAGCTGGATTGCTTTGACATTGACTCATACTTCATCGTTCCATGTGGAGTTTACTTGTTTTACAGGATCAGAGTTGTCTTTGAGAGTAAAAAAGAAGAGACAAGATGACACACCCACTTCACAAGTTGGTTTCCATGACTTACCAGAAAAGTCAACAAACTTAAGCCTTGCTTGGAGATCTTGAAGGTTATGTAGGTAGGAGGCTTTCTGAAGGTGATGATGTCACGCACGCAAAATCACCGTGGTTGTTTGTCCGTTGCGCGGGCAAAAGCAAGATGTCCAACCTGAACATGGAGTTGTTCAATGGGACTGCGTGTTCGGGCCAAGGGGTCATTAGGACCTCTCAGATCCCTTGGATGAGCTTCTTTTCGAGAAGAAATTTCTTGACATCCTGTTCTTCGGCGGGAACCATGAGCCTTCGGTATTTTGCCTGCGAGTCCAACCCTTGGGCATGGAAAGGGTTCTGTCCAGTCTTGGTTGTTAAGTCAAGCAGCCAAAAGGTGGGCCTTTTGTCAAGCGCTTAAGTGAGCCATACCCATTTTCTTAGCTTCCGGGTGAATGGTTGTAACTGGGCATAGTTTTATGACTTGGAGACTCCTTCTGATAGCCAGATAATTGGAGCCCATCCATCATTGATTTTCAACATCACTTTCCCCAGAGGAAACCAAAAGCCCAAAGGGTATGAGCCGTTTTCTTCATTTGTTTTGACATCGCCTTCCGGATCATTGCCTCCCCCCTGCTGATTCCTTTTTGAGAACCACAAGTACTTGGTACGCATTGCTTAGGGATTCGCCTTTTGAGTCGGAGCAGCCTGAGCTTGAACCAAGCGAGATTGCAGTTTGCGAGGCCCGGCTCTATGCCGTTGGCACCCACGGCTACTTCTCCAAGGCTCTTTCCTGCTCCGACTCGAGCAGGGCGTGCTCAGGTTTGGGGCGCTCACTGGGTCCTCGTGAAACATCGACCGGCTTGGAGAAAACAATGCCATTGTTTGAATCTGAAACAAACACACATGATATGTGTCTCGTTATTTTTGGATCAGAGAGAAACATGCTCTTTTGTGTGCTTGTATTGCCCGAAGTTCCTGGGGTCGGGGTTTGCAAAATCAAAGGTTTTCCGCTGAATCAAGTGGAATTTGCTTCCTTTTCCAGCTAGCACGTCTCCTCTTTTCCAAAAGACAAAGGGACCAGCCCGTGGCAAAAGGATGGGGGGTGGGGGACCAGCCAGTGAGAAACAACGGCACCTAGCGTCGGGTCTTTGATTAGTTGGTGGAACCTTTAAACACAATAATTTAGGCACATGAAGGACAATCACCATGGGAATATCGCGGAAGATGCTTGCGATGATGATGATGGTGAGGAGGAGGAGGAGGAGGAAGAGGAGGAGGAGGACGATGATGAGGATGATGATGAAGAGGAGGACGAGGATGTGGATGATGCGGATGAGGATGATGATGAGGAGGAGGATGAGGATGAGGATGAGGATGATGATGAGGATGAGGAGGATGAGGATGAGGATGACCATGACGATGACGATGACGACGATGACGATGACGATGACGATGACGACGACGACGACGACGACGACGACAACAATGATGATGATGATGATGATGATTATGATGTGGCCAAGCTGCTTCTCCATTGAGGGCGCTGAGTTGTGAAATCCCTTTGGTCAGGCGATCTCTGTGTTGGGGGCAAATATGAAGAAGGTGTTGGGAAACAAAAGGACTCTCCAACCATCTCTCTCATTTGTGTCGGGTGCTTTCTCTAGTGGGGTCCAACTTTCAAGGCTCACTTCCCATGTTTCGTGGGGTTGTGTTGGAAGATCCTTTCAGTGGTAAGCAAAGGCTTAACTCTTTGGTGCCAATCCGCTAAGCAAGTAAGTCCCGTACCCCAGACCTTTGATTCAAAGTTCAATATATGCTCGACAGCTCGAGAAGCGAGCCACTGGCTACAGCAGGACCCATGAGCATGCCGTGGCACCAGTTGGATGCATGGAAACAATGTGCTTTGTCAGAACATTGCATTGTTCAATAATTGGTCAACAGAGTTTTGGCTTGTTTGGACATCGCCCACGGAACCGCCGCCTCAATTTAAGCAGCCAGATGCTTTGCCCCCCTGCAACAGGAAAGTGTCTCTCCTTCCAGCAATCAAACAAGTGAAGGAAATGGACGGACGGCCCGGTCTTTCACAAGCCTTCTGTCTGGAATCTGTTCGGCAGTGCTGGTTGGTTTGGCAGTCAGTTCTTTTGGCAGTGTCACTGTGGATACAGAAAGTGAGGCGCCAGTTGGGATGGATAAAACCCTATGAATCTTGGCACAAAGCAACTTGCCAACCTAAACTTTGTCCATCCACTGTATTGTTTGTTTGGTTGGTGTGGTTGCTTGAAGTGTTGGTTCGTTGACTTGAGTCCTGCTAGGAGTTCAATGCTGTCGATTCGCTCATTGTCGCCAGGATGCCAGTGAGAAGGTGGCCAAGATGATCTCGGATCTGGGGCTGGAGGCGGCAAACGGCAGCGCTTGGCTGGATGGAATCTTCGCCTTTGCCTTTTGGGCAAAGGTTTTGTCAACCTCTGATTCCAAAGTCTACCAGTCAGAGGATCCCCAAAATGGATAATTTCTTTGCACCCCAGAGCACGGTCCTGTTTTTGACGCATCGGAGATTAGCCGCATATCTCTCAAAATGGTAACCTTATTGCGGGGATGCTTTTAAAGGGAAGCCATAAGATAAGAAACCAACAACTTGAAAGGGTCTCGATTTTTGAGACCTGACCAAATTGAGTGCTTCCAGCCAGCAAAAGGATGTGCGACTTCCCGGTTGGCTCATTCGGTGCACCCAAGGTTAGGACTGCGGCGCCTACCTTTTGGGGTTCTCGGCAACGGCGTTGGGCTGTCAGCCTGGGCGTGTCACGTGTTGTATCTGTCTTGTTGTGAAATCAAGCCGCAACCATTGCATATCTTGATGTGAACAAGTTTCTGGACTGGAGTAACCCCTTCCATTCGAGCCAGGATGAATCATTCCCTGGTTTACTTGGGCCCGCATCGCTCTGGTTCACCCACCGGGCGCGTTCATTTGAGCATCTAGCTGTTGGGTCCCATTCAAGAGGGAACGCAGATCAAGTTCGGGGAACCCCCCCCCAGAATCCACCTTGGTGTGTGTTTTTTTTTCTTTTTTTCTTTTAACGAGGATACCCGTTTCAGGCTGTTTTAAAGCGAAAAACCAAAGGGACAAACCCGGCGATTTCGGGCCCATCATGGTGAGCTTATGTTGCTCCCAGGTGTGCTCGCCACAAAATATGAGCCTTATTTGCCTTGTCTCCGTGGGCAATCCCCTTTGCACGGGGGTTTGCTGGGAAAGGAAGCATCATGAGTTTTCCGTTACGCACACACAAACCAAGCAGGTTTTTACTTCAGGCGGGTGCTTGTTGCAACTGGCGCCCAGTCGGCCCCCGCGCTCAGTGGATCGCGGTGACCAACTGCATCTCCCAGAGAATGCCACGCGGTCAGAGAGGATTTCCAGTTCTGCGAAGCTCACTCCCGGGGAAAATGGGCTAGATGCCACTGCAAAAGAGTGTGTATTTTAGTATTTGTATGTATATGTAATTATGTTGTACTAATTGCTCTTGGGGTTCACATCTCGGAATTCGTTTTGAGGGTACGCAATGTTCGCTTGTGTACTGGCTCATCAACGAGGAGTCAGAATGCTGCTACGCCCTTTACAAGTATCATAAGACATGTTATTCGCGTACCATGTGAGACTATGACACAAGTCGGGTATCTTTCTCTCTCTCTCTCGCTCTTTTGAATCCTGGTTTCGTTGTTTGGGTAAATGTGGGTACTGACGGGTAGTGGAAGTCAACAAAGCTGCTGGGCCCAGTCGCCATGGGTGGTCAGGAGGCTGTGCCTGACCCCCTCCATGCCTGAAAGGTAGGGTGGGCGGGTGTTTTTTGGAGGGCAACCTTTGTATCTGAGAGTTAAAGGGGAAATCAAATATAAACCACATTTTTGGGGGTCCCCTTGTTTGACACATACCCAGGCAAGTTCCCCCCTCCCCCGCGGGCAAAAGCGTTCCCCAAGCATGCATGTTCGTTGGGTAGTTAGTAATGACCCGGGGGAGGGGGGGGAGCACGTTTTCGTGGCTGGCCTGACAAAAGCCGGAACGAGTTTGGCTCTGTCCAAATGGCACCAGCTGCCTTTTGCAGTGCTTCTTGTGACCTGTGGGATGAGGTTCGACCATTCGGTTCTTTCATGGCTTATAATTACATGCAGGGCTCCTTATGTTTCCTTTTGTTCAAAGGGTTGCACATCGCAGTTTTGGCCGAAGCGAATCAAGTCCATGGCCGCAAAACCAATTTGCTTTAGAAAGGCTGCTTGAACCCATCAGAATCCACATTGAGCTCCTGTGGCAGTTCTAGAAGTTCAAGAGATTCAGAACCAACAACTGCACGACATATTATGAGGGTGAACAAGCGGGGGAGCGCGAGGTCCTGGCTTTACCGGGTTAATTAGTTCCCATCAGATAGACATGTTGAGGTGCATGGGGTTTGCATACAAAAGAGGGACCTCGCTTACTCCAGAATGCTTAATGGAACCTGTTGGTGCATGTCAACATGGCATATGACCTTTGTTTAATTACAGCACATGGTTGAATGATCAGTGCCCTTAGCAAAAAGGTCAACAAGGCAAGCCCAAAGGTGAGCTTAGGTCAAAAGCGGCCACCAACTTTGTATTTGTTGGATGTTGACTACTTTTGATATGAAGCAAATTGCATATGGACCATATGGATGTTCCCAGGTGGTGAGCAGTTTGACAGGAATGGCCCCTTTCGCCCATGCCTGGTTGTTTCCTTGAAGGGGATTTTCCAGTTCATTCCCAAAATCCCTCGAGCTATTCTCTGAGACCCAGCATTCCGTCACCTGTTTGGCAGCTGTTAACCCGTTTCTGCTCCGAGGCCTTTGCAGAAGTTTGAGAAGATGGGCATTGGGGACAGGTGCGGTGGATCCGATCACGTCGCCTCCCGAGCCAAATCAAGCGAGCATCCGCTTCTGCCTGTGCGTGCGTCTTGTTGGCGTTGTGTTTGGTTAGTATGTCTAGTTGGTGTGTTTTGTTTTCGTGCTTGTTTGCTTGCTTGCGTGCGTGCGTGCGTGCTTGCGTTTGCGTGTGCGCGTGTGTGTGCGCATATGTTTGCGTGCTTGTTCTACGCCTGACACGTTGCCAGCAGTTGTGGCCAAAAACAGATCGGTCTTGTGTTAAGCCATGGCTAAGTATGATCCGAAGCAAAACCACATCCCTGTCCAGAACTTGGCAAATGGGATGTTTGTTTGGGTTTCCGTGAGCAGGACATGTAGACACCAAACCAATTTGGGGTGTCCACTGCAGTTTGAATCAGACAAACACACACACACAACCAGTTGGTGTGTTTTTTTTTGTTTCCTCCGTTTTTTGTTTTTTCCTTTTTTTTGTTTGAAAGCCAACCCAAAAGAGATACCAACTCTGAACAATCGGACAGAAACACCCCCCTTTGAGACCAGCGAGTTTCACATTTGCAGCTTTGCCAGGCTGAAGGTGGTGGACGTCTCCAGATTGGTCCGGAACTCAGCAGGTTGGCTCATAGCCAACTTCGTCGCTGGCACGGATCGTTTTCCTCTTTTCATTGCCAGACTGAACAAACTAGTTGCCGTCTGGCCTTTTTTGGGTTTCCAGCTTTTCCCTTTTTGATCACCAAATTGTAACTTTTTTGCAGAAGCTAAATACGGGCAGAATCACACCTACTAGCTTTTAGTTGGGAGGCAAAAGCTGAAGTAGTTGAATCGTTGTCCAACCCTTGCTCGTTCATGCTTGAAGTAAACTATAGCACACCCCCACCTCCGCTACCAAGAGCAGAGGAGAAACGACCCAAGCGGCATCCTTTCGTCAGGTTCCACAACAGTTTCTTGCAGATAATGATCAAAGATGGTTGCTTAAGTTTGGGAATGTTCAGCATCACAATCTTACCTTTGACCCCCCCCCAAGGCGGTCCAGTGCTTTGGTCGCCACAGCCAAAGCTTTGCTTGACATTCCCGCGCTGAAGTAGAGGCCAGAGAGCAACTGCAATATGAGCAACGTATACATATACTGCGTGTATATATTTATATACTACTGCTCAATGGTGCGATCTCCTTGGTTGGAACATAGACCGTTATTCAGCGATTTTTCCACAGCTTACATGGCAGGGGTACGCTAATTGTGAGCAGGAAGGGGCAACCACTCCAGCATAAGTATAAAGAACTAACTTCTCGGGAAAGGTGCAATGTTTGAGAGACTCAATTCCTCCTGCATGGTCCTGGTCAGTTGTTCTCACCACACGTATGTCAGCTTCCAAGTCCGGGCGAGTACAGTGTATGGAATTGTTCGGTATGGATAGGGCATGGGTGTTGGAGACAAAACCGGAATATATTTAGTATTGCCTTACGGCTTTCCATTGGCGGTGTAGCAGCCAAAACGATTATACATCGGCCATGACTTTCACCTCTGAAGAAATTGGCCAGCATGAGTCCCCACGAGAACCATGCCCAACAAAGAGTTCCCCGCTAAAAAGCACATCCAAATATGAAGCAGAATCAGACCATGTCTTTTCTGTGTACGGAGGGCCAACCTGAGGTGGCAGGGGCCATCATTCGAATCCACCTGGGCGCTTCGGTGAACTTGCCCAAGTTCCGACAGCTGGGGTGCGCCCAGACGACCACACCGAAACATCCCGTATTTGTTTTGTTCTTGAGGGGGTATCCGTTTCCCCTTGGTTGTAGAGGGAAGCCGAAAGGAAGCCGTTGCCATGCGTTGTCATGTTGGCACTTTAGGGGCCCGATTCCTATTTTGAGACAGACCCGCGTGGGTTTTGAGTCATGAGTGCTTCCCCGCCCGGGGGTTGACTTGCTCCCAATCCAAGGCTCTTTTCGCACTTTTGCGACTCTTGGTGTTTTGGCGCACGTTTCGCCGTTGGGTTTCCCTTACCAGGGTTGCGACAAGTTTCACCCTGGTGCTGGTCGGGTCCTGGTAAAGTTTTGTCATGGGTTAAATACGATTTGGCTTGCCATCAAACAGCTTCGACAAGTCACACCCCCAGAGACACTGCATATGCTCTTCCATATCGGTGGACCGGCTTGATTTGATGATCTTGTCTAGTGCTCCCATATCTCTTGTGTTTTCTGGGCGAAATCGCGGCCTTTGAGGGGATTGCACCAGGGTGCCCCATATCTTCCCGTTTGGTGGACTGCAAGATGACCATGTTGGTCCTTTTTGTTATTCTTGTGGTGAGGCGATGTTCAAAGGGTGAATGCAAGCTACACTGATTAGATCTGCTTCGGAATCGTTGCCCTTGTTCACAATGTTTAGCCTCTTTCCTACAAGCATGGAAGTGAATGGGATTGTTTGGAAGACGAAACCCATCCTTTTGAAAAGGCCCCTAGTACACATCCATGATGGTTGCAGAAAGGGTACCTCAGATTGCCAAGAGCAATCGGAGGGAACAAGTCTTCTGGAAGCTCGGAAACTGATTGCGGCTCGCACGCTCCAGATAGGGAGGTAGGCGATTGTGCTAATCTCGTTCTGAGCGAAGCGTTTGGGAGCCAGAATCTCCGGCCGCTTTCATCAACAACTTGTACTCAGAAGGTCTTAAGATGTGTCTTTTTCCCAGTCTCCGGACTGTCGAACTGGAGTCTCCAATACCACTTCAATCATGGGACAGAATTCTGCCAGCGGAGTACATCAGTTCTGCGGGTATTGGAGTTTCTATACTCTTCAAGAAGATCTTATTATGAACAAAGCAGCTTGATCGTCTTCTAGGGGTTGATTTTTGATTGCCGAGTCTTTTCAACCCTAGTTCTCTTGAGAAACCACACACTTTCCCAAGGTGTGGCCCAATTTCTGAGGAGAGGTCTCCAAACAGAGCTGGGGAGCTGGGGAGGGTACAGCTTGTCTATTGGCCACCTCCGGGAGCGGAAGCCCTCGAGTTTCGGCCAGGCCGGCCAATCCGGACCCCTTGTTGGCCGAGGCGGCCTTTGCAGCTCGGAAAAAACAAGTTGCAGTCGTCAGAGTCGACTGCCAGGGGTTGGTCCAAAGCTTCTGTGCCCTAAAGCAGATCCACGGTCAAAAGCGTAAGGAGCAGACACACATACATAGTGGGGCCGGGGGGGGACTTCCACACAGAGTTGTATCCGATCCTTGCCAAAATGGGACATCTGCTTGTGAATCACTCCGCTTATAAATGCTGGGTTCGCAGGTGTTTCAAACATTTCTCCAGGGTGATTGCATGGACAACAGACACAATCGTCCGAAATCAGAAGGGTTGGACAGCACATGGGACAAAGTTCTGGCGAGTGGCATGGGCCGGTTTCCTGTAAGGCGGCAACGAAAAAAGCCCTTCTTTTGACAGGTTGTAAGAACCTTTCCTTGGGGGGGGGGCTTTGGTTTCCTTGCAGGCCTTACCACCCGCGCCCAACGGGTAGTCAAGTGCGGGCTGTTTGCCAAGAGGGCGTAGGCCAATGCCTGTCGTTCAGTGGGTTCTAGGCCACATAAAGTCAAAGGCAGAATCATCCAACCCAAAGGATAGGTAAAGGAATGTACTTTCTCCAGTGCGGATGGGAGCTTCCATAGAATCGGAGTCTCCAAAGTACAAATTCTCCGGTGCTCATGTGAGGGCTCTGGACTGGAAACACCCCACGAAACTCGAGCAAAGTTGGCCCCAAAGGCCATGCTTAAACCACCCAAGGTTAAAACAAATAGTGGGAGCCCTTTTCACCCAAGTTAAAAGGGAATCCCAAGGGACCAGCACATTTTGTGTTTTCCAAATCGGACCAAACGAGAGGAAGGGATCAGTCACTCACCAAGGTGCCCACCACCCAGTACACCCTCCGGGCCCGGCACTCGGAGCACTCGGCACTCGGAGGGCTGGGGGGGACCTGAGCCACTTGCTCAAAACCCGGGTAGATGAAGTCAGGGATAATCGCAACCATAAGTAACTGCGGCCGCCTGCCTAATTCTTTACATGGTTCTGGGTAGAGCATATTCATGCCGGGCTTTGATTATGACTCACCTGGTTTCCTTTTCAACATAGGAAAAGGGAACCCCCCAAACGGTTGGCTTCCTTTTGGTTTTTGCTCTTCGACCAACCCCACAACAGGTGACCCTTCAAAGAAGCACACACCCTGTTCTGTCGGAACCTTTTGGAAAATCAATACATGTCCCTAACCCGTGTTTGTTTGCAGGCGGCTGCGCTTATCGTGACCAAGCTCACCTTCCTATCCTTTTGGAGAATCCCAATGTATCCCTCCCAGCGGGTCAAGCCCTTTCCCTTCTTGAATCTTGGCTTGGACCAACATCTGCCGGCCTGGGGCTGGCGCGGGATGCATGGTTGTTTCTCCAGACCCCCCATTTAGCACTGAGTTGTGGTATGCTTTTGGGGATTTTGAGGGAAAAGGGCCGTAAGCCAGGGTACCCAGGAAACTGGGGCAAAGCATAGAGGTTTGGAAGCGGGTATCTGTTCGCGGGCTACCTGAAATGTGCTTTCGTCTTGCGGCCGACTGATTTTAGGTCAAATTGGATCCTTCCCCTCGAATCCTGAAACGGGGGTATCCGATGATGTCAGGGCTTCAGGTTCAACCAGGTGGTTGTTGGGTGTACACCCCTAGGGAAATGACCCAGAACTCTCCCAAAGAGAAGTGGGAATGGAAAAGTCCTTAATCTTTCCAGACCCTATTTGGCACCCAGCCTCGACACCAAGTCCCTTTCTTTCCGAACACTTGCCTCTCAGGGAATCACCCGGGGTTACGACACATTTGGGATCCATGGTTCAGCTTTGTGGGGTCATTCCCTCAGGGAGCCTCTGGGTCCCATGTTCGGAGGTCGCGACCTCCAGTCCAAATGTGGCAAACGGATTAAATCAGTCTTCCTTGCCAACAATGTGTTCCGCAAGGCGCGCAAGCCCCGAAAACAAACGCCCGACATCAAGGGTACACGATCCACTTTGGGCTAAGCCACGTGCGACTAAGCAACCCGAGTATTCCTTCAGTGCTCTTCCCTGGATCTGTGCTGTGTGGCTTCCCCTGGTTGGGGCAGTGCTCTTTGGGCGGGTGACCGGAGGCTGACCTTCCAGTCGTGTGAGACCGTGTTTGGCTGTAATGCCAAGGTGTCACTAAGACTGTCTGAGTCGTCATCCGCTAGGTACGGTGGTAGTTTTGCGAGCAAGCGGAGCGCGTTTCCTTTTTTTAAAATCATAACTTGACCTTGTTGCGTATCTTTGCACTTTATCCTCTCCGGGATTCCCTTTTGACACCATTTTTTGAAGCATTGCTCTTTGGACCACACTTATATCACTCTTTGGACTCCACCCATTTTATGAAACATCGCTTTCATTTTAAATTCCTCTTGGTGGATTGAAGTCACCGAGGGTGCCGCGCCGGCTCCCACCACGGAGTCCTGAGAGCGTGAGGCCCTCGGGCGCGGGCGGCAGCCAGGTACAACGCTGGGGTCTCCTCCAAAGCTGTTTCAAGCTTCAGGACTGACAAACTTTGAAACAGCATCAGAAAGTCTGGCCCATAGGACAGCACTAGGAAAGCAAAAGAAAACTGTGTTATTTTCCAGGGCTGGAGAGTGCCTAAATTAATAAGGGTGATAGTGTTATATTATTAGTACAACTGGCCTTGAATGTGGATTTCCTTTCCTTTATGAGCTTATCAAACCTTGACTTTTGACCCGCGTGTAGCAAGCAGTTGTTGTTTGCAGCTGGCATTGTTTTGCAGTGTTGCGCGGGGAGACGATTAAGACTATGAAGAGAATTGGCAATGACAATTGAATCATGGTTTCTTATTTGTTTGCTGAGTTTTGGGGTCGGGGCCAAGGAGGACAGTCTCTATTAAGTACGGGGAGGTTTGGTGGGTATCAACAATGGGCTGGGAGGCGGGCGGCGGGGGGGTGGGTGGGTGGGCCAAACCTTGGGCCCCTTTCAAGTAGGATGCGGGGGAGCACAGTCAGACTCTTCAATCGGAGGGCGTGTATTTTCCGTGAGCATTAGCACAGATGTGGGCCAAGACAAGACGTATACCAGGGTGAACACAAATGTGACAATTCCCTTTGTGCAAAGGCGAGACGAGTGACCAAATTGGGGAAGTTGCGCCGTGTACTTTTACCCAACTGTATCGTCGTTAGCTTCAGCATCTCGGATGTTTGTAGGGTGCGATGTTAACCCCGGCATCCTTGTTGGCATTGCCGTTTGCTTGTGGTATGCCTCAACCTTCGTGTTTGACGGGTTTCTATGAATAGTAGAATGAACCCCGAAAAAGGGTTCTCGCTTTCCACCAGGGTCCCTGGCAATGTTTCGGCCAGGCCGGCCAATCCCAAGACCTTGGCCGCCTTTGCAGCTTGGATGACACGGAATGTTTGGTCGGGTTTGTGCCCACTACATAGTTTACACCCTGTGAAACAGACACACAATAGTCTGAGAGTCTGACATAGAAGAGGGGATTGTTTTGAAGCAACGCACATGGACAACAAAGCCCGGTCAGGCTTGAACCACCACCCAAAATTGTGTGCCAACAAAATCGTCCGGACCCTTGCTGGACCTCAGCAGCTTTTGATGAACTCTCAAACCAAGGTCCAAGAAGGAACATACATCTTGTGACTGCCACCTTGGATTGGAAACTGATCCTGAAGTATTTGTATACAGCAGAGTGCAGACTGATTCGAAGCCCGCACAATGTTCCAAAGGCAGGGACGGCCACGGTATGACAGTTATTGTTAGCTTCATCTTTTGCTCTGCGGTTGGACAAGACACGTTGCATAGCATATTTTTCGCTGGGACCCTTTTGATGAAGCCAGTTGCGCTGATGTATCTCTAAAGACTTGATTGTTGACTACGCAGCACCCGCAGACTGTGCAGGCAAAGGAGTGACATACATGCTCTGAATGCCAGTGTAGAGCAGAGTATACACTTATTTTGTCTTGCTTAGCTAAACAAGCCATATGTTGCTTTTCCCGTTCAGGAAGCTAAGTTTATGAAGCCAAGTGGCTCGACTTCTTGGCTGTGGTGATCCCTGATGCAGGCCGCCACATGGACATCTCACCGGCTAGGGGCGCATGCCCCGTGGTCATCCTCAGCTCAACTGCCGGGAACATGGCCAAGTCTTGAGGTTTGCAGGTCTAGACTTGCTGGCAGAGGCTCTGTCTTTCCTCTTTTTGCATTCCTGTCTTTCCACCTTGGCCAGCGTTGGCAAGTTAGAGCACGCCGTGCAGTGTCCTCGGACAGTGCGCGGTGCAGTCTGCTGATTGATGGTGACTCCGTGGCCCTTGGCTTGATGACAAATGCGATAGGCATGCTTCAGTCAGAGGGACTGAAGGTGGAAGCAGAGTTGTTTGCACCTCCGGAGAACAGCAGCAACAAAAAATGGGCTCGGTTTATCAAGGAGTACGATGTCAACTTTTGGCCAGTTACGCGGCGGGGTGGCGAGCGGGACTGCAACGACGACGCCATCATAGCCAGAGCTCGAAAACTGGCACGAAGCTCACGGGTCTCATGTATAGCCCTGCTGGTTTATGATTCGGACTTTGTGGGCATTGTTGAGGAGTTGAATGCGCTTGGAAATCGCGTGGTGGTCCTTGTTCCGGGCAACTTTTTATCATGCCTGAGCGCATTTCGCGCCACATCTGCCAAGGTTATGCAGCTTGCAAAAGGCCCTTTCACAGGGATCAGAGTTCGCGCCATCCTTCACAAAGACGGGCAGGGCGAGGTAGGCCTAGACGACTGGGAAAATCCTATGACTGATGATGACGGTGTACGCATGATCTGGAATGCATTGTCAAAAGCTGGCTATGAGAGAGAGGAGGGCAGCCTGATCCCATGCGTTGCCAAGTACTGGCTTTCTCACGGTTATGGACCCTTGACGGTATTCCCCTATGGCTTTGCGCTTACTGCAATTGTGGCGCGCATACAACCGGACTCAGCAAGCAGGCAGTCCAAGGGGCAGATGGCATTCGTTCTTCCGTTGGGCAGTGGATCAGCGACCAAAACCTCTATTGAGCGTTACGGCGGCAGACTAGCTGCAAGAGTATTTGCAGGAGGTGGGCCATTCGTGCTTCAGGACTCGCCTGGCATGGTCATGCAGGTGCTATCAAAGCTTGGCTACTTGGATAACGACTTAAACCCTGATCTGCATGACTCACTCCTTGCTTTTTGCAACAAAACGGACAACAAGCGCCATTTGCGAAAGCTGTCTTTGCTCCCAGAATCAGGTGAGGGACCAGCCGGGGTTCTCGACAAGTTGCGACAAGCCTTTCTGTCAGATCAATGTCAGGGCACCTGGAATCTGCCTGCGGGTGACCGAGTCGTTCGACAGGTGCTTCGCAAGGAGGGCATTTTGAGAAATGAGGAGGCCTCAAAACTTGAAGTGCTAGAAGCCATGAAGGAGCACTTTTGGAAAAATGGATGGCCCGCAAAGAAGAATTATGTGGCCTACGTCCAGCAATTTCTAGCTCGTGTGAACTGCGATGCTCCCGACCACCGAGACACGCTGGACTTTTGACTACTGGATGTCAGAGTTAATCTTGCTGCGCTGTTTTTAGTGTGTCTCAGTCTTCCGTTGCTTTTACATGCCATGGGCAAGTTGCAAGCGCATGAACCGCCAACGATCCTCTGCAAAGCGAAAGAGAGAGAGAGACAGAGAGAGAGAGAGCGAGAGATGTTTGGTGCTCTCCACGGTCACATCATGGTCCAGTATGCTGCCACTGCCCCACTGGCCCAGCTTCACCACTTGCAATGTTCAAACGTTCTTTCCGAGTTTGTAGTCCAAGTCAGGGGGAGGGCAGTTGGAAGAAAAACGCGCGGACATAAACTTTGACCCCAGCCCGAACTTAAGGGCACTTCATGATCAGCTAATATATTAATTTTGCATTTGCTTGGTAGCATAAGGTGATACCATGTGAGCGACTGCCTTTTAGTTACAAACTACTCAGTATAGGCCGAACATGCTGAGATAGGTTCAAAACGAGGTAGGGACAGCCAAAACGAGGTAGGCCCATGACATATAGCGGGTTCTGATCCGCATGTGGCGCTGGAAGCCTAGGTCAATGAGTCCAAACGGGTGCAGGGTTGGAGACCGAGGTGGGAACACCCGACCATTCAGCCATGTTGCAAACAACTGTATGATTGCAGCTGGAACAACAGCTGCTGTTTCACCAGAATTGTGTCATGAAACTGTGCGAATGGTTTTCCGCGCCAATGTGCGCAATCCATTTGCGGGCCGACGACTTTCTGCAGCTGCTGCAACATGCCCTCTTTTGTGTGTGCGTTCTCAAGCGGAGAAGCACGCAGGTGTCAAATTCATCTAATGCAGATGTCAAGGCTGGGGCAAAGCCACTTGGCTGGAGCAGTGGGCAGAACCTTGATGATAGCCACTTTCGGCTACATCAAATGAATACCCATTCTGTTTGGTGGGTCACTGAGCCAGAGCTCTCAAACAAGGAAGATCCTCGCTCGGAGGGCCCGCATGGCCATGTGTTCCTGTTGCATGAGAAGTGGAGAGGTCTTGGTCACTGTTCCTTAGCTGTGCGCGCTTCCAACGGCGCAGCATGCGCTAGGTGGTTCTGCTTGGATTTGTAGATGGCTGATTTCTGCACCGAGCTGGCAGCTGGATGCCTGTTGCGCGTCCAGGGTTTTTCATGTGCATGAAGAACTCGAACGGGGATACCACCGAAGATCTCAAAAGCCAGCGTTTGGCGCAGACCCAACTGCCAAGTTGTAGTCTTTTGCGCGCTTGATGGGTAGGAGGTTCCCTTCAACAGCAACCACGCAAAAGCGGAGTCCACTTTTCTCATGCCCACTGGGCAAGTAAAAAGAGAACAACGCGGCATCGGCATGCCCTGCCCCTGCCTGCTCCAGAGTGCAATCCGCCAGACAGCCTGCGGCAGCTTGCTACCCAAAGGGGGAAAATTGGCGTGAGCTGGCGTTGCGCGTGTTGCTGTTTGGCAGAAGCGTTGCACTTCCCTCATCTGACATTTCACATCGCAACCTTAAGAACAAGTTGTTTGACAGGTCTGAAAGAGATGGGAGCTAAAATTTACATTTGGAGTCTTCAAGAACCCTTGAAATAGGGTGTACCTATGATTTACGTGTCATGACCCATTTGTGCATCGGAGATTCCTGAGACAAACTAACAAGCAGGGAAGCAGCGGAACCAATGTGGCCACACTTGTCGGGTAATTTATATTTAGACATGATTTCCTTCATAGAGAGTTCTCGCAGATCCGCGCTTCCCCGGTTGCTAGATCGTTCCCAAATTCCCGTTAAACCAAAGCGAGACAGATCACTTTACCTTTTCCGAGGTACCAATCATCTTCGGGGCCTGGCACTCAGAGCTTCGGGCCAGAGCTTGTGGGTTGCAACTTGGGGCAGACCTGGGTTTGGTCTCAAAATAGGAAAAGGGAAACCGCACAACGGTTGACGGTTGGTTTCTTGTTGTTCTCCCTTTCAACCACCCCCTCGAAAGGTTCGCCTCAAACAAGAACACCAACTTTCTTTGTTCGGTCTCTGAATGTAGAACCTGTTGAAGATTCTGGCGGGGGGGGTGCGCTCTGTGACCAAACTCACCCTGTCACTTGGAAAAATCTCGATGTGTCCCAAATGGAGTCTTCTCCAAAACACAACTTGTTTATATTGTGGGGTAGCTTAAATATGAAGCAGGATCTGACAATATAAACTTCTGTGTACCCCAAATGTCGGCCAAGGTAAGGGAAAGTGTGTAATGCTTTTTGAGATGAGGACGTTGTCAGGACCTAGGCCACCGAGCTCCGAAAGAACTGGGGCAACCTATCCAAGCGGTTCGGAAGTTTTGGGGTCTACCTGAAATGTTCCTTGATCTTGCATGCCTGTGTCGAACCTTGGGGAATCAGCAACTCCAGGAGCTTGGCTGGAACCCTCCCTGAAAGCTGCTCCGAACCTCCCTATCACCCTAGAGATCACGTGGCCTGCAGCTGTTGGAAAAAAAGCAAGCGGAGACCCGGTCGATTCAATCCTTGGGATTCTGGGCGCTCCCGTTCGGAGGTTTGGGCATCTTGCAGGATTCGAAGCTTGACCCACTTGGTCGAATACTGTCCTTTGACAATTGATTGGTTTCTTTCCATTATGTTTGCAAAGATCTTAAGGTCACATCATATTTAGTAAGCACTAATAGATAGAGACATCATGAACTCAAAAAGACAATGCAAGAACATGATGAAGTGACAACATAACATAATATTCGTGACATGCTGTTTGGATATCATTTTTGAAAATGTATAGGTATGTGCTGCCATTAAGTTCTGGCTCTATAGCTCTTCTATAGAGTTTGGATAAGAACCAACATAATTAACTGCTGGAGCACCTCATGAGGACTACGTGATTGGGTCTTTCGAATGACAGTACAGAGAGAAAGACAGGGAGCGAGAGAGAGAGAGAGAAACAGAGAGAGGAGAGACAGAGAGAAAATTGCTCTCGCCAAACCCGGCCTTGAGGAATGCAGTAGCCCAGCCTTCGTTTTCGTGTTGCAGCGCAGCTGTTCAGTCTGATGAGTTTGCCACTGACGATGGTTGAGGGAGTGGTCTTTGGGGGAGTAGTGTAGGAACCTCGGATCCTTGTTTGGTGGATGCGCTACTGAACGTGGCCAGCGGGTCATTGGCCAATCGGGGTTTGCTGGAGGAGGCTGCACTTCTGTATAGTCGTGTGAGACGATGTTTGGGTTTAATGCCAGGGTATCACTAAACCAGTTTGAGTCTTCATCCATCAGTTGCAGCTTCCAAGCAAGTGGATCAAGTGTCCCTGTTCACCAAAGTTTTGCCTTAGATGTGTATCGTTGCGCTTGATTCTCTCAGGGATTCACTTTTGACACCATGTTCAACACATCCCTCTTGAACCCTTTACATGCATGTCCTCGTATATTGACATGTTTTCAGGGCAGCTGCACAAACCGCGAGCCGCGGGTCACACGGGCACAGAGCCAGTTTCAAAACCTGCAGGGTGCCGCATCGCTCCCACGACCGAGTCCTGAGAGCAGGGCGCGAGGCGGTTCCGGCGGCCAGGAAGGCAAAAGTGAGGTCACACCAGAAGATGTAAACACGGTCGACGCCACACATGGGCTCAGGGGACACTCAAGGCACAGGCGATGAGCAGGTTCCCTTTGTTTGCCTCTGAGACATAGTGCGGGATCAGGTAACATAGCGCCTTTGCTAACTTCGACTTTCTTTCCTTTCAGCTTCAGCTGGTCATCGGCAAGGGCGGCACGAGTCTGATGTACAAATGAACATGGTTTGCAAATTCATGACAACGGTTCCGTTCATAGGTAATTACCCCTTAGGGTTTGTTGGCGACCTATTGCGATTTGCTCACTAGCTTCGTTGGTGAGTTGCCATGTATCACCCATGTTTTGGTTGTTCACTTCTTGTTTTTACATAATAATTAAATCCGAAACCACTGTAGAGTAGGGCTTGCGGTGTCGCAACTATGACGGCAACAAAAGCTTGAGCAAGAGCATTTAGCTTGGCATTGTGAGAGCAAATATGCTACAAATAAACTTCAATTTCTCCCACGGCATGAATGGTTGTGCCGTTGTTCCACCTATTTACTACCAACCACATGCCGCCAGCTTTCTACTTGCCTGCGAAAACAAGTCAGGCTTTGGACCTTTGGCTCTTTCAGGTTGGTCTATGCCAAGCCACCCCTAGGGAACTCAAGGAATGATGATGATTTTGTTGCAACACGAGGCATGATCGTGATGAATCGCGCATCGGCCATCCATGTTTGAAGACCTAGTTTTTGCTTATGGTGAGTTGGACCCTGCCCCCGCGCAATAAGACATGAAAGAGTTTCGGATATTTCACCATTAAAATCGTCTTCTAAATGGTGGTAATTGTTTGTGTTTGCGGGCAGGGTCCACAGGATGAGGACGTAACCGCCCTGGTCGTAGCACTAGTTACTTGAGGCAACTTCGAACTGACGATGTTGAACCTTACATTGCCTAAACGTATGCCCTCCATTGGTTTGTACATGGTTTGTCCAGTTGGCAATACTAGAATGATTCTCCCAGTCATATAGTTTGCCAGCTGTGTCTTGTCCCTAGCTTTATGTTAACATGTTTCGATGTTTCAGTTGGCACCGGCTTAAATCAAATGGAGCTTTTAGATGGGTAAGCCCCAGCAGCTTTGATTTGCCTTGTGCCTTCGTTAGGTAGGTGCTACTGTCATGTTACAAGTAGCAATGGGTCAGAAGGGTGGGGCAAATCCAGTTTCAGAACAGTGAGCGCAGATTCCTTCAAGCTCTTTGAACAAGTTGTCCCCACCCTCAGAAAGATGTAGCCGAGGAAAAGCTGTGCTTGCGCGTCGTGCTCGCGACTTGTTCCGGTGGCAAGTGTGGCCTTTCCCTCGTTTGCGCTTCGCCCTTTGCGTTGTATGCCATGATTTAACTGGGTCTAGGAAACGTTGTTGTGAAGGCCCCCCCGCAATTGTAATTGTGACTCAGTTCAACAGTCGTGCAAGCAGGGGCAAAGGGCTTCCTTAACAAAGGGCACTCAACTGATGCTTTTCAATTGTTGAACAAGACCAGACATTGACTTCCGTTTGTTGTACACGTTGTTTGTGCAGTCTTATGTTGATTGTTTGTTGTTCCAAATACCACTTGTGATGAAATGTAAAACATGATGACTAGATATGTCCTTTCAGTCGCACCTGCACAGAGGTTGAGGTTGAGGCTATTGACTTCGCAGTGTCGGGCTTGCTGTGACAGCGTCACATAAAGACACTTGGCACTGCCACTTCTTGTAGCCATACTATTGCTTGCTTGTGTGTCAAGTAAGCGCTTCCTTCTGAATCCACGTTTCTCAAGGTTGATACCTTATTCTTGTCGCTTGTCACCCATCGTTCCTTTGAACATCCTCCGCAACTGTTGTGGGCTTGTGCCATTTCTGAAAGGAAGCACCCCTGGACAAACATGAGGGGAGTACACCGAGCTTTTGGCAGGCAAGCCTCGAGCGCAGTTCATCCACATTTTGAGGGGAGACTCGGCTGGAACTTGGAACCTTGGTGCTGCAACTTGGAAGTGATGGCTCCCTTTTCTATTTGCCGATTTCTGGTTGTCACTTGTCATGCCCATTACTTTTGGATCGCGAAGTGATCTCTTTCTCAATAGGAGTGGAACCTCCGCTGACACACCCCCTTTCCTTCAAAAAAGGAGGAAAAGGTCAATGTTAGGCCAAACAGCATGCTCCGCTCGCTCAGCCGCTTTGGTCGAGTGAACTCGGACGCGCCGGACCCTCCAAGGGCCCCCAAAGCCTCGGTTCGGTGCGCTCTGGCCGCGCGGCTTCTCGAGCCATGGCCGAAGAGAAGAAGAAGAAAAAGAAGGCGAGGGAGTGGATCCACTTGTCCAAAGCTAGTGTCTGGGGTCGACTGAGGATACATTTTACATTGTACCAGTGACTCAAATTGAAGCAAACAATAAAATATACATTCTATAACTGGCCACTGGGCCTAACTCTAATGATGGTGCTTCCAAGGCATTTTCAGTTGGTCGAGACTTTGCGAGATTCAAGCAATCGTTTTGCCCATTTGCCCTTTTGGGTGTTCTTCCTTGTCCGTTTTGACTGCTAAAGAAATCACTTTTGAAGGGCGCCACGTCAGTCCAATCAATCAATTGCAACTGCCCTTTGGGGGCTCCCTAAGGTGTAGATGGATCGAGGTTAGCGAAGTCTATGACTGCTGAATGACACTTCGGCAGAATTCCCCCATGAAATCACAAAGGGTGGCAACCAGCAAAAGTTTTTCCTACAACTAAGGCTGAAATGTGTCAAAGAGAAGCAGAGAGCAAAGCAACGGCTCTCAAGAACGCTCATCCAAAAGGATTTGTCCCAAGATTATTTTCACCAAAAGCGTTGCTTCCCTTTTGTTTCCCGGTAAGCCAACCCCAAAAAAGAGACCGAGCCTACAAAACACACCCTCAAGAGGACTTGGCTAAACATAGTTGCCAAAACTGGTTGACCACCAAAGCTCGAATTTAGAATTGAGTCGCGACAGGGTTTGCTCCCCCTCGTACGGGAAAAACAAGGACCCCTTGAACAAGTGTCTACATTAATAGAGAGACTCCTCCTCCAAATGAGGGGGTCAAAAAGTGAACGCTGAGTCCAAATCTAACCGAAACTGGAAATCATGTAGCTGCCAACAGAATACATAACTGACCTTTCACTGACCAGGGGGAATGAAGATACAAAGACCATTTTCTGCAACCGGCATGCGGCTTTGGTTTGCCTTGTCGTGTACGTTGCTTCGTTGTGCTTGGCATGAAAAGCGGCTGTCGCAAGCACGACTAACTCTTCACGGGAAGTGCTGGAAACACACTGTAGAACATGCGTGGACCCTGATCGGCTTCTCATGTACAGCAGAATCCCCAATGCCTCTGTCTGGTTTTAAAAGGGCAATATATATACATACATATACAATACGATATTATAAACAGCGCCCTGTCTCAAACAACGATGAAAGTGTGCAGGAACTCTCCCGATTCAACAGAAAAAGCATTCCCGGTGGTTTAGGTCCGTTTACTGGGAAGTAGCCTCATATTATTGGTTTCGCAAACCCGCTTTTACTCAAAGGCTGCTTGATGGAAATAAGCATTATTGTCACCTGGCGTTGTCAGAATGAGGGCCTGGGTCACCTTGCTGGGAAGAGATGTGAGCTCCCTCGAATGTACGTATGGTGTTTTCTCTACCCGACATGGAATGGGTCTTGTCCAGTTTGGACCACACTTTCAGAAACTGTTTCAAACCCTCTTCAAGTTGCAAACCCTCTTCAACGCATGCGGGCGCCTGTTTTGGGAGTGTGTTGTTGTTTTCTTTACTTGCGGGGAAGGGGGTTGGCTTATATGACGGAAGAAGAGACGCCACCTCAAACCTTGCCAGATGCCAAGGCAAAAACAAGAATGTCCAATTTTCCCAAAGGGAAACCAAAAGGGGGTGGATATGTGTGTGTTGCTCCAGAGCCTCTCTTCAACTCTTTCATCTGAAAAAAAGCAGCAGGAGGCGGAGCTGTTCATAAAGCCGGAGGACAGCCAAAAGCCGATCGACACCTCCAAGCCACTTGCTCTGGGTTTTTGGTCAGAGCTTCCTATGTTTTACTCGGTAAAAAATGGCACGTGTAGGCGGGGTGGTGTGTAAAGGGGGGTAAAAATTGGCACTTGTAGGCCGGGTGGGGTTTCCGTGGGGAGTTCTGGAAAATCCGGCGTGAGCAACTGTAGTCAAAGGAGTGTGCTCGGGCATGGAGAAAAAAGCAGTAGGAAATGGGGGCTCACCAAGATTCAATGTCATGTTGGGGGCCACGATGAATCTTGATCGAGTCGCCTCCCCCGATCGCAGGCAGGAAACCCACGACACCCCCCCCCCCCGCACAGCTTAGATGGAGATGTCTAGCTAGGGCACTCCTTTTTTTCGATGGGTTTAATTGTAAATCACAAGAAAAACAATCACTTGGATGGGGTCCCTATCTTTCAGACTCACCAAGAAAAGGCTATTAAATGAAGCTTCTTACAACGGCTTTTAGAAGAGTGCTGAGAGCTTAGACTGCGTGGCATTCCCAGACAAGGGGCTAACTACAAGCAGTCTCGTGTTGGAGGGCTTCCACTGTTCAGTGCAAGTCGCACGTTTCTGCTGGTGCGATTCTGAGAGCCTGCAGGTTTCCGCGCCTCTGCCGTTCTCGGCCGATGCGCGCATGAGTTTGTTCTCCACATGGGATGTGGCACCCTTTCAAGATGGGCCTGGTTTCCGTTTTGGCTTCTCGTCCATGCAACCTATACCTTACACAGCAACGCGCTCAGCCCGGTTCCCCTTTCAGGTGGTTTTCAACATGAGGCATGCTGGGCCAGAGCAAATTAAAGAGAGTCTTCTTCTGGGTTGATTCAGGCAAGGAACGATGCTCGCAGATATACAATTCACAGTTTCTTGCGGCTTGCAAACCTATATGTGAGATGCTTGGTCGGACATCTAGTTGGAACTGGCTTTGTGTAACTCCACAACTTTCCGATTCCAGCCTTTTTGCCTTCAAGGCACATCAACAGTTTTTTGACATCTACCCTGGCTGATTTGTAACGTCCCAATTTCCGGGGTCCCCTTCCCCTTCCCGTTACGGACGACGGCTGAGGTGGCCCTTGCTGCTGAAGAACTACTCCAAGCTCCTGGTGCGGCCGGGGGCCCCAGGGAGCCCAGGATTGTTTGGAGCACGCGGGTCTGGGCCCCTCACGTGTTTCTTTGGGTTCCCTTTGTTCTTTGGCTTCTGTGTTTCTTAGTTCTTCATTGGCGCCCCCTGGTGGCTTCATTATTATGTAGATGTGTGTGTGTGTGTGTTGTATTTGTTTGCTCTCGTTTTACATGTGCCTTTCTCTATTCCGTGTTGTATGTAGAAGTAGCTTCTTCCTTTTTGTTGCTTTGTTCGTTAGCTTTCTTGCTCGGTGTAGGGCTGGTGGGAAATTCTCACCCCCAGAGTTCCTGGACTGTGTACTTTTTGGGAAGACCGTTTCCTTCGCAGAAACAGGTTGTACTGTTTGTTGTCCAATCCATTCAGGAGGTGAGGTAAAGGTTTGGTTGCAAAAAACATTGATTTGAACATGTTTGCACAGTGGTTTACACAGCTTCATGAGCGGCTGGCCACAGATCTTTTCTTGGTCATTAGGAATTTGAAGCACAAACCCCAAACATGGATTCCCCAAATCGATCTTTTGGCAGTCACATGAATTCCTCTTCCTTCACCATCTATTCGCTTCGGAGGTCGCTGCCAGATGATAAAGGGAACTTGAGACGTAGGCATGGAGAGGCATGAAAGATATGGCCAGTTAAATCATAGTGTCTTTTCAAGAATAGTTGTTCAGTCATACAGTCCTTTCAAGGCTTTTTACTCACCTTCTTGCTCGTGGGTCTGTTTGGAACCTATTTGGGATGGCAGCACGGCGAAGAACGAAAGGAGCGACTGGAATGGATTCCTTTTCATGGGTGTATTTCCGCAAGTTCCTGTATTGGCGACCAAATTCCCAGGCCACCTCCTAATACTTCTGAGCTGAGATTCCTGGCCTCTTTTCAGATTCCGAACCCAACATGGAACGAGAGACTTGGCAACACCAACCACAAGGCACTGCGCAAGTGAGGTTCGGTCCACCTGTCCGAGTTTGTATTTGTGGTCAAAAGTGGGGTACGCGACATGGGGGATGTACCGAAGTCTCCTGCACATACCAAGGGAGGCACCCAGATTCCCAGAATGGGTCGATCAAAGGGGAACATGGTTCACCCATTTTGAGGCAAGCCCATGTGGGGCGTCCTTTTTGAGGATACTCTTTTTTGAATTAGGGATCTCACCTGTTTTGTGACCGGCTCCCCAGAAAGGCGCGGGCGGGATTCGGCGAAGTAGGCTGCGAATCTGAGGACTGGGCACTACACGCCTTTGCCCTTTGGCTGCTCTCCTCTCACCAGACCCCTGGAGGCTGGGAGCAGATTCCTGCGATTCCGACATCCAACCATGAAACTGGAAAGGGCTACCACGTTCAACCGCCAAGCTCAGTCAACTGCAGGGTTTGTCACAGGGTATCCAGCTTGACCATTTTGGAGAATTACAATTTATGCCAGGATTTGGGCAAGTATCGGAGGGTAGGCAGCCCAATCAAGAAAACACAGGTGGGGTTTGGTTTTCGGTTTTGTCCAGCTCCTCTTCTCCCGCCCCGAGGTGTTCCTTGTTGTGTGTTCTTCTTCAAAATCAGTTAAAAACAAGTTCCTGGCAAAAGCCACACGCCCATGTATCAGGAATATAGCTTTGTGGAGATTTCCCAGCAGGAGAATCAGGACCCTGATTGATAAGAGGGCAACCAAGCGTTCGGAGGCTTCCCCTTGTTGAACACATACCCACATTTCCTTCAACCGATGTTTGGCAACATGATTTTAAGCAATTGTTGCCAGTTCAAATACTGGGGTGTGATGTTTCAGGTGGTCGAAGATAGGCACGTTCCCTTTCCTACAACTCCGAATCAACCTATGTTGGATCATTGCGACGGATCCGGTAAACCCGATGTAGACCATTCCAGACAAAATTGGCCCAAGGTAGGCCAAACACCAAAGGAAATGTACCCTCATTGGACTTGGGCGGCGGCAAACAGTTCCGACTGGGCGGCGGCAAACAGTTCCACTCTGTTGGAACTCTTTTGCAGAAGTTTTCCCTGGTCAAGCTTTTTCAAAATTTGCCAACCAGCAAAAAAGCGCGGAACGCTTTTGTCTCTTCCCAAAGCGCCGGGTCGACTCGAGGCATACTTGCTCTATGGCATCCTCAACTTGGACAAACCTGTGAACCCCTCCAGTCACGAGGCGACCGCTGAACGAGCTCGGGGGCTGTTGGTTTTTTGGGTTGGCTCGGAGCATGGTATTTGTTTGGGCGTCCCTCAGTGCCGTGGATAGAAACCTGTTGCCTTTTGGACGGCTACGTAGGCAAAGCATGTTAAAAACATTTTCCCTTTTGGAAGACTACGTAGGCTTGTGAGGGTTAAGTTTGGAGACCCTGTGCCATCCAGCCTTCTATTGGTGGACAGTCGATGGGCCAAAGAGTAAAAGTCTACCCCCAAAAGGATGGCAAAGGATGGGGATCGATGCTCTATTTCTGTCAAAAAAGGCAACACTGCTTTTCCAATCCTGATGTCGAGCCCTAGCAGCCATGGCCCTAAATGGTCCTGAATGGACCCGTGACTGAGAGCCACTACCGACTGCAATCGCTCTCCTTTCTATGGCTTTGCATTAGTTTACGTGAGCTTTTGCTCCCCGCACCCGATTCGTTTGCTCCCGGCTCGGGCGCTCGTTGACTCCTCGTTCGCGGGTGTTTGGAAGTTAAGCTGGAAGCAATCGCAAGTTGAATCAATGTGTTCCGAAGGTTGGCTGGCACACATCAGCTGTTGGAAAGGCCATTTCCAGCACCCAACTACTTGTTGTGGGCAGAAGCAGTCGTTGGGTGTTGGTTAAGGTTGGCGAGTTTCCTTTTGGGGGTGATGTTAGGTTGGAATCGGACGGCTTCTGAGGACAAGGAGCTTACTACTGTGCCGTGTCTTTTTCAGACTCGCTTGGACAAATGCTCGGCTCTTACTGCTTTTGTAAATGTCCAGTTGGAGATATGCCTTACTTTTTTGGCTAGGCTTTCACAGCTTGCTTCTTGGTTTTGGCAGCCAATCCTTTGAAACATACCATCTTCTCAACCGACTCAGCTGGTTTTTGCTATTACAGTTCTTTGTTCCTTTTCACTGAAGGCAATCACTCAGTTTACATTTCTTTTCGGCCAGTCAACTCGGCAGCTTTGCCAAACTTGTGGATCCAGAAAGCATTTTCCACCACAAGGGTCGCGGCAGGTGGTGTCCTGGATCAAGCGCATCATGAATTGCGAGAAGACGGGCCACTCTGGCACGCTGGATCCCAAGGCGCGGAATTCGATTTGGTTTTCCTCTTTTTTTAACTTATTTTTGGTCTTATTGTTTTGTTTCCCCCCTTTTTTCGGGATTCTTTTGTTGGTGAAGTTTTCTCTGCTTGAAACATCACCTGCCTGAGTTGATTGGAGGGGATTCCTCCACTTTCTTCGGTGCGTCTAGGTCCCCGGGCTGCGTGGAAGTTCGTTGCCGTGCCTTTGTTTGGCAAAGAGAAGCGCAGCATAGGCAAGACGCAACGTTCTTCAACCCCCCCCACCATGAAACATGTCCAATGCCAAAGGGCAACTCGCCAGTTTGGGGGTCCCCTATTTTGACAGGGAGGACGAGCGGTGGTGGAATCTCTACCAGCCCCACCCCCACCCCCCCGATGGCCGGTAATTGGCGTCCCCGGTGAAGTGCCGGCAATTGGCCAGCACTTGCTTAAGAATGTTGTTGTTGTCACAGAGATGTTTTGCCATCATCAAAGTGCAGTGAAAGGTCACTTTTGTTGAAACGTTACTTCAGGATACCAGACGGGATCCAGTTGAGGGTTTGGGCTGACATGTATGATCATTTCACATGCAACGCGCAGGGGGGGGGGGCGGTACGAGGGAACTTTATGTACAATGTGAACGGGCCATTCGCCTTTTGAAAACCAAGTCTTAGTTAAGAGAATTTGTAAAATTCTAGATGGTTCCAGCCCAGGAGGGGCCCTGCCAGGACCCTTGATTTTTAGTTTTTTTAGATTTTTTAGAACTTTTAGAATTTTTAGGACTAAGTTCTAAAAGTCTTCAAAATTCTAAAAAAGGACCCCCAAAATTTAGAACTTTTAGACTTTTTAGAACTCAATTCTAAAATACTAAACATTCTAAAACTCGGACCCCCGAACATTAGAATTGTTTTGATTTTTTGAATTCTAGATGGTCCCAACCCAGGAGGGGCCCAGCCAGGACCCTTGATTTTTAGAATTGATAGATTTTTTAGAACTTTCAGATTTTTTTGAATTTAGTTCTAAAAAATATAAAAATCGAACCCCCAAAATTTAGAATTTTTAGAATTGAGTTCAATGAGTGAGCAGAGAGGTTGGAAAGAGTGAGGAAGGGATGGGAAGGTAAAGGACATGCCTCTCACTAGCGCAAAAGGGGTAGGAAGAGAAATGAAAGATGCTTCTCTTTTTAGCTGTTGGATGGGGTGAAGGCAATTCACCCTTTCATGCTACTCCTTTCTCTTTTCCACGCCTTTACCCACAAGCACAAGTAGCTGTGTGTTGGATAAAGGCTTGGGAGAGGAAGGATAGAGAGTGAGGGATAGAGATGAATGCTGGGCCAGCCCTCACAAGGCTTCTCTCTTCGTTCGTCCATCATTATCTCTTCATCCACATCCTTTATCTCCTTTCTCCTTAAAGACCGGGAGAGAAGAGAAGAAAAGGACAGGCAATGGAGCTTCAGCTCGTCTCATGCCTTCGCCAGCTCTAGAGCCAACATAAGAGAGGGAGGGGTGACATCTCTTTCTCTCACGTAGAGTCCTTGCCATTATTTCAGAATGAAGAAATGGCGTGGGAAGGCGCGTGAGAGGGAGATGGCCAGCTCCTCCATCATTATCCTATCTGTTAGAGCTGTGGGGCCAACGGAGAGAGCAAGAGAAAGAGGGCCATGTGATGGTTAATGAAAGATAAGGCCATCATCACCCTCACATCATCTCTTCTTTTTACCTCTCATCGCCTATCTCCCATTGCTCTGTCTTCTAAATCTTGGAGGTGGATGAGGGAGGAGATAGGATGACAGGGAAAGCGTGATGAGGCCTTCCCGCTCTCTTCCCTCAGCCACCTCCCAATCTCCTTTCTCTCGCTTGCAGGTGATGATGAGTGAAGAAGTGAGCGAAGAGAACAAGCAAGGAAGAGAAAGGGAAAGAGATGTTACCGTTATAAAAGTGTTTCCAAACTCCAAGAGATATCAAACAACTTTCTCCACTCCTTTGCCTATCTTAGACTGGGAATGACGGGTAAGGATTATTGAGAAAGAGATAGAGAGTGAACGGTTAGACCAAGAGCTGGGGCAATCAGGACATTCCAGCACATCTGAAGGAAGAGGGATTCATTGCAAATCTTGGCCAGCGGGTGGGGTTTCCTCTGGTCACCTCCCACCTAAAAACCTTCCCATCTCTCTCTCTCTCTCTCTCGTCATTTATTTCTTTTTTCTTTCCATTCTCACCGTTGCAACAACTAGGAAAGGCGAAGGGTGGGAAAGAGAATTAGAATGAAGAACCCAGATGGCATGAACGACATTCTGGGTTCGATGACAGGACTAAGGGAAAGGAGATGTTGGTCATAGAGAAGGAGAAGGAATGAGAATCAGGTGTGTGAGAGGGAGATGACCAGCTCCTCCATCATTATCCTGTTATTGCTGGGTAAGGAATGTCCTCCTCCACCACCTGTGACCTTTGGGATCGCATAGTAAGCCAACGGAGGAGGGCGGTTATATGATGGCTAGTAAAAGAGAAGGTCATCATCACCCTCACATTCTCTCTTCTTTTTACCTCTCACTACCTATCTTCTAATCTCTATCTTTCGAGAGAGAGGGAGAGGGAAAAAACGTGACAAGGTGAGTGCACACCCACCCTTCCCACCCACTCTCTTCCCTCACCCACCTTCTGAAGCTTGCAGGTGATGATCAGTGAAGAAGTGAGCGAAGAGGCAGGACAAGCAAGGAAGAAAGAACAAGATCTTACTATCCTAAAAGCATGTCCATATTCTAAGAGATATAAAACAGATATGCTTTCCATCTCTTGCAGCCCCAAAGCTACTAAAAGGGAATGGGAATGACAGGTAAAGATGATTGGGGAAGAGAGAGAGAGTGAACGGAAAAGCTGGGACAATAAGGACATTCCAGCTCGTCTAGCTTTCATTCACTTCCCTTCTCTTGACCTTCCTTGTTTCCCAAAGAAGCTTCTAACTGGGCAAGAGGTTGGGAAAGAGAAGCTGAATAGAGGTGAAGAAAGAGGAATTCATTTGTAACTGCTGGAAAGAACTGGCCAGCGGATGGGATTTCCTCTGGCCACCTCTCGCCTAATCGCTTTACCTCTCTCGTCATCAATTTCCTTTCTCCTTTCCATTCTCACCGTTGCAACGGCTAGGAAAAAAGAAGGGGTGAAGAGATAGGAGAGAGAACTAGAATGAAGAACCCAGATGACATTAAAGACGTTCTGGATTCTGTGACATGGTTAAGGGAAAGGAGATGTTGGTGATGGAGAAGGAGAAGGATACAATCCTCGCCACTCCAGAATTAAGAGATGGCAAGGGAAGGCGTGTGAGAGGGAGATGACCAGCTCCTCCATCATTATCCTATCTGTTAGAGCTGGAGCTGGGCAAGGAATGTCTCTCTCCACTACTTGTTGTGAACTCTTGGGCTCGCATGCCAGGTAAACGACCGGAGAGAGCGAGAGAGAGACGAAGGGCGGTCATATGATGGCTAATGAAAGAGAAGGCGCCATCATCACTCTCACATCATCTCTTCTTTTTACCTCTCATTACCTACCTCCCATCATCTCTAGCTTCTAAATCTTGGATGTGGATGAGGGAGGAGATGGGATGAGAGGGAAAACGTGACAAGGTGAGCCCACCCACTCTCTCCTTCACCCACCTTTTTAATCTCCTTTTCTCTCGCTTGCAGGTGATGATGAGTGAAGAAGCGAGCGAAGAGTCAGGGCAAGCAAGGAAGAGACCGGGAAAGAGATGTTACTATCATAAAAGCGTTTCCATATTCTAAGAGTATAAAACAGAGATGCTTTATAATTTGAGATGCTTTCCATCTCTTGCATTCCCTTTCTCCATTCTATTTCCCTCTCATGTCACTCCCAAAGCTATTAAAAGAGAACGGGAATGACAGGTAAAGATGATTGGAATTGGACAATAAGGACATTCCAGCTTGTCTAGCTTTCATTCACTTCCCTTCTCTTGACCTCCCTCGTTTCCCAAAGAAACTTATAACTGGGCAAGAGGTTGGGAAAGAGAAGCTGAACAGAGGTGAAGAAAGAGGAATTTATTTGTAACTGCTGGAAAGAATTTCTTTTCTCCTTTCCATTCTCACTGTTGAAACGGCTAGGAAAGAAGAAAATTGAAGAGATAGGAGAGAGAATTAGAATGAAGAACCCAGATGACTAAGGGAAACAAGATGATTGGATGGCCATCCATCTCCTTGCCTACTCTCTCATCTCTTTCCCCGCCCCCACCTCCATCTCAGCTTCAAAGGAAGCTGTAGGTGGTGGGGAATAGAAATGAAGGGGAGAAAGGGTGGTGGTAAGGTGGTAAGATAGAGGCTTGAAAGGAAGTGAGTGCGTGATAGAGAGACTGATGTAGGCAAGAGATGGAAAGGTCATGCGGCCAGACAGCCATCCTCCCCTCTCGCCTTCTTTTCTTGGCATATCTTCACTTTCCAAGAATATCTTTTACCATCCTCATCCATCTCCCAGCCAATGAAAATGAGGTGAGGGGATGGGGCCGTGAGATGGCCAATCAATGAGCTTTTCCTCTCTCTCGCCCTTCTTTCCCTCTCTACCTCCCACCACCCAACCTCTGCTTCCGAGAAAAAGAGTTGGGGTGATAAAGGGAAAAAAGAAGGGGGGAGAAATAAGCAATGGAGATTCCTTAGCCCACCAGTAGGCCTTTCCAGTCTATAGACTCTCTAGACCCAGTTATGCATTGATTATTGTAATCTCAGACACTAATCTACAGTCCTATCGCTTAGTCATTTCTGTATCACCTAGTAATCACTTGTCTCTACTTTGCTCCATTGATACGACTTCTGAAGTCCATGACATCAATAATCGCAAGGCAAGAGAAACACCAAGAGCTGAGAAAGACAATCAAACATGAGATACGCTAAACAGATTATAAAAAATGTTGAATTGAAATTAGGTTCTGGGTTGACCTGACCGTGCAAATCTGCGACGCTGCTATCCCTTTTTTCGTGCAGATCAAGTGGCAAGTGCTGAAAAAGGAGCCGGTTCACATTATACGCATTGTTCCCTGCCACGGGGGGGGGGGGGGGGCGACACGCTGGTGACACGCTCATAGCCCAAAAAAGTGACCGTTCAACGTACATGTGCCGGCAATTGGCCACCCCCCGACACGCCGTGACACTCCGTGACACGCTGCTCAAGAACCCCTCTCAAACTTGCCCTCCAAACCTCAAATTTGCCAGCCTCCCCTTTCCCCTGCCCCCCCCCCCCAAGGACCCTGGAAGGTCACTTTTATCATTGCACAAATTGCACTAAGTCCACATGAGTGATACTTACTAGCAAATTGCTTTTGCAGTCACTCAGACAAAAAGTGACATCGTTTTGCCCAAAATCGATGCGCCGGCAATTGGGCAGCCATTGGGGGGTGCTGGTAGTTGCAATCCCCAGTCGCAATCTCTAGTTGCCTTGGGCAAATGGAAGCGATCGAATTTACCGGGTAAAGCGATCTCAGGCCTAAGCTTGCTGTCTTGGGGGTCAGGTTGTTTGGTAATTCACCCAATCTGTAGAAAGTCCGAACTGGTCAAACTGAAAACATAGATTATTTGCAATCGTTAAGTTGTCCCATTGCATGATGTTGGCAAGAACGTGTTGTTTTTGCATCGAGCCTATTTGTTGATTGGGAACTCGTCCTTTCTTTGCCAGACGGGGAAAGGAGCAAGTATTCCCGTGTGTATGTGTGTGTTTATTTGGAAAACACCCAGCACAGACAAGGATGGCGAGGGAAGGGCAGTGAGGGAAGGAGATGTGCGGGCGCGCGGGCTTGCGGGCATGCGGGCATGCGAGCGTGCGAGCGTGCATGGGAGGGTGGCGGGGTTGCTGGCTGTGTGTGTGTTTGTTTCGATGATATCCGCATTGAGTTGAGCATTCCTGCTGCATGCAGGGCCCGTTGTGTTGTCACCGTTTTTGGCTACCCGATGTATAGCAATAGAATTGCATTCATTTGGCCTCTAATGCCTGAATGACACCTTAGAAGCATTGGGACGTCCAGAAGATATACTTCATGACAACTCTATTGAGTTGAAAACAATATCTGCGAAGCAATCCTAAGAGCTCCAGCCAGATATCGATATGTAAGTTAAGCAATATTATGCGTATAACCCAATAATTCGCAACATCATGCATTCACAATCCATGTTACTCTCTTTAGTCTCTTCAAAGGGTGTACTTTGTGCTAGAAACTCTAGAATTGTATCATAATTTGAAACTTAGTTTTACGTATCCATGTGATGGACCGGGTAGAGGTGGTACATGTCAAATACCGCCTTGGGATCTCTTGTTCTGAGTTGTTTTTTGGATGTCTAACTGTTTAAATGTATCTACGTAGTAACATTCCACTACTTTTGGAAGATGCAATCAGATGTTCGGTGCTTACACCGCCGGTTGTGCTGCTCTTCCTTTGAGTCACCACGTCTCTTCTCCCCCTTTTTTCACGCAAACTCTGCTATTTCCTCTTTTGTTCTTGCTCTGTTTCACCTGTTTGAACGTATACCACTTTGGCTGTCTCCCTCCCGGGTTGCTGTACCGTTCTGAGGATACGCAGTTTTTCGCCAGCTTTCGGTTTTCGGCCCGTGCGGTTCTCGCAGGTGTCCGGGTGCCTGCTGGTGTGCCTGAACCGTGCCACGCGCCTCGTCAAGGCCCAGCAGTCCGCGGGCAAGGAGTGCCCCGGATTCCCGCGACGCCACCCTCCAGGGACCCGTTGGCTCTTCCAACTGCAAGGTTGTTGAAACAGACAGATGGGTCAAATCAAAAAGAGGCAGATGCCTTTGCTGTTGCACAGAATCAATCTAGACAAAGGTAAATGCCATCCTTTCCATAAGCCCAAGCTGGATTCACCAGGCCGAAGTTCCTCGTCAGGTACATTGCCGTGGTGCGCTTCCACTCGGACCCCGGATCTGCTTCCAAGGTGCAGAAGGCGCGTCCGGGATGGCGGCGGAGCCGGCGAACATGAGGCGGTTCCAGCCACAAACTACCCTTCCTCCCACAAACATGGCAGCTGACAGGGGTCCAAGAGGATTTTTTTGTTGCAGGTGCCCTCCCGCAGATGCTATGTTAGTGGGCGAAAGGTGAAGCAGTTGAACTTGTTTGCATGGGGTTCTTAAAGACCAGGCCAGCTGGGAGAGATGTTTGCGGTGACGGCGTGGTTATTTGGGTGTTTGATTGTGTTTGGTCGCGACAACTGGTTGCTTTGCGCTTGGAAGGACCCAGGCTTGCTGGCCGCGTGAGTGTGCCGCGCTGTTCGCTCGATATGTTCACTTCCAATCAGCAATCCTAGAACTGCTGGGGCAAACTCTTGCCCCACGGGCAAACCAAGTTCGCCCATGAAGGCCCCTAGCCACTTTCAGAGAGAAACAAAGCCTTCGGGACGGGGTGACTTGCCAAAATCTGTAGCTCCGCTTCTTTGCTTTCCGGTTGGTGGGAGCAATCCTGTCATGACCAATTGGCCTCAGAACTGTAGTTTTTAGACATGGTCACAGTGATTGCGCCACACACTTGGTCGTGATCGCTTCCCCAGCTTAATCATACCCCCCCCCCTCCCCCCTTCCTCCCCCTACAACTGTCCCCCAGGTGCTATGGAATGGTGTACAGTTAGTGTGCAAGGGTCTCGTGCTGGCCTCGTCCAATGCACCCCCCCCCCTTTTCCCGGCCAAACACACTCACACACTGGCAATTTGCGAGGTAAGCATTTTATGTTACTTTTTCAGAATTGGTTGATCTACAATATTTGTCAGGCTTTCAAACTCAACAAGAGTTATCCTCAATTCCTGGCTTGGATTGGCAGTCGAGGATTTGCATTCTGGTGGTTGATCCCTCAAAGGAGACAACTATATGTGAAGCCATCACTCCAAACCCTGCGGCGATGGAAGCTGGTACATACCTGTGCTTGTACTTGAACAACACACACTCTGCAGTCAGTTTGGCATTGAGCAACTTCTTGTATTTAAGCCTGCACCGTGTCCAGTAAAACGACAAAGAGTTCAACCAAAAGCCAAAATCCACAACAAGCAGTCAAAGCATGAAAGCTGCGCCTTTGACGTTTTTGGGAGGGAAGCTCCCTTCAAGATCGACTACGCAAACAGGAATTCCTTTGTTCCATGGAAATCAACAGATTTGGGCGGGGTTTTATTGTTTGATTGCCTTTAGATACACTTAAACCCAGAGGTTGATTTCCCCAGGACCAAGACAACAAACAATCAGTCTGCTTTGTTTTAGGTAAACCACCACTTTTAGTTTTGGGTTCCCCTTTTTGAATGACAAACCCAAGTGGAACGGGTTGACCGTTTGACCTCACCGCTTTCGACCGGACCGTTTGCCAGGCCCTGGATAGCCTCCACGGCGCGACCTTCCAGAGGCCAGCCGAGCCCCTCGCTTTCGGAGCTGGACTTGACTGGGGTAGACTTAGGATGCATTTTACATTTTACCAGTGACTCAAAGGGAAATAATAGAATATACATTCTATAACTGGGCCAGAACTGGGCCAATTTGAGTCAATTGAGATGTGGCTCAAATAAATTCGGAGACCAACGCCACGTCCCCCAGTACTGCCCTTTTACCGTTTCTTTTTTGGTTGGGAGGGTTCCCCTACTAACATAGAGTACAGAAAAAAGGTACCGAGATTCAATCCTCTCTACTGGAGGACCCAGCCAACTTGCTCCTAGTTAGCGGAGAAACAATCAACAAGTAAAAGACTTTGGGTCAGAGAGCAACCGAGTCTCCAAGTCGTGTCTCCATGGTTGCCTCTTCAAAGGAGGGCTGGCACATGACCCCCTGAAAATGTTCGTCTTCAGAGAATCTACTCCCATCCCCAACTTGTTAATTGGTGAACCCACCAAACACACAAAAACAACTATGAAAGAACGAAGCAGCGCCCAAAACCAATCGACTTTTCGTTGCTTCTACCAACAACATGGCCACACATATTCTTGTGTAGCTCTTTCCATAACTCCCACTAAAGCCAAATCATAGATTCCGCCTACTACAGCAAACTTCCTAAGTGGAGTGGCCGCCAAACTTTGCGTTTACCATCTGGGCGTGGCTCAAAAATAAAGAGCTAGGCTTACGCAGGTGAAGGTCTTTGGTTCCAGTTGAGGTGCTATGCTCTGCTTTGCGACAGGGTCAGTTTGACTCTAGGGTCCATGATGCCCAGATTCGCTGCGTCGCCCAGATGTTTCGGTTTTTTATTCTGGACAGTTGTACGCATTTCCCCCTGGCTGCCAGAAAAGACAACAAACCGAATAAACCAATTCTCGGGAAGGACAACTTGATTTCCAGTCCGGTGACTTATGTTTCTTCCCACGCAAGGAATTGCAAAGGTGTACTCAAAATTATGCATACACGTTTTTTTTTTTTTAAGAGATTGATCCCTTCGTAAGTAGTCCATCTTGTGCTTTCGCGGAGACACTCACCAACACCTGAGACCAAAGCTATTCTGACATGCAGCCAGTTGCAGCCATTTCAGAGGGGTTGCTTTGACCAAAAACACGTTTGAGATTACTTCTCTTGGTTGAGGGCGGTTTGAGATGCCCTCGCTGTTTTTGTTCCGGATCCGGACTCTGCCGCGCCCACTAACAGTCTCACTTCCTGAGTTTCTGGACTTTAAACTTTGTCGGAAGACCATTTAGGTGATAAACAAAAGTTTGGACTTTTTCTGGCCCATGCACTTGGGAAGCGAGCAGTGGATGATAAACCATTTGGATCAAGCACCACGAATACGGTCTCCCAAGTTGTGGTGACTGGTGTTTGGAGGAGTCCCACAACATCTTAAACCGAGTTGATTTCGGGAACTTTCAGGAGAGTGGATCCAAGTCCCGACAGATTCCAATACTGTCGCCAATGTGAATGTATACAAACTACATAAACCATACCCTGCGTTCTGGAGGGGTCCAAGGCTTAAAGCACCCATGTTCGCTCCATATTTGTGTGTGGGTTGTCGCAGGTCCCATATAGCGTTTGTTTAGTTTGTATCTGGTTTGACTCAAGTTGGGTATGGTCTCGAAGTTGCGGCCCCCAACCCTAGATTGGCACATTTGTTGACCAGGGTGCACAAACTAATGCCCTTGAATCAGGAATGCCTTACCTATACATTCAGGTATGCCGAACTGGTCTTCAACGCGGTCTCCTAAGGATGAACTTGGACTCCCAACCCCCGGCAAGAAAATCACGATGGCTGCAAAAAGCACTTGCCTGGGGCCTGGGGTTAGCATCTCAAAATAGGGGTCGAGATACGAATCCGGGAGGTTTGCAAGCCTCACCAAATATCCGTCTTTGTGCTACCCAATGGCAACCGGCATGCCCGACTGAGTGCAGATTTCTTAACTCACTTGCCCAAAGCCGACCTTTTAACCATTTTCAACCTTTTGGTTTATTTATTTTGGTCCCCCTTTTTAGTCAAGGGGCCAAAAGGTTAAGGTTAAGCCTTTTACTTCCAGGTCCTTTGGGCTGAGTCAAAGCCATGATCTGCAAGCCTCGCCGGCAAGAGACGCCAGGCCGCCGGTCATCTCGGCGGTGAAGCGGCAGCTCCGCGTTCGCCGGGATTCCAAGCGCTCTCGCGGTTTGATCGCAGGCAGGTTCCTGTTTTGGGTTTCCCCAGGGCAAACGTCGACCCAGGAATCGGGTTCCCTAAAAGGGAGAAGCGATTCCTGTTTTTAAGACCTTAAAAAGTAGGCAAGAAATGGAAGCCTGATCTTGGGTCTTGCCATACCCTGTCTCCGAAGTGATGTTATATTTCAATGCTGGACACATTGGTGTACCAGTTCAACTTGGAAGATCCTGGAGAAAGCCAGTTGAAACCATTTCACCCTTGTGTGTCCTCTTGGCTTCAAATGGAGCCAGAGCTTGTGGGTCCAAGGTGAAAGCCATTTTTCTGAAACCAACGGGGCTCTCAAGTTCCATGAGCCACGGATTCAAGTGGATGAGTAGATGACTTCGGTCCCAATCATGAATAGCGGCAAGACGCCCTTTGTTGTATGATAGATCGGTCTTGGTGGTTAGTCCTGCATTGGACCGAGTACCGGCTGGGTCAATTTGTGTCTTGTACATCATCCAGAAGATCGCCCCTGACCAGCTGCCTTTCATGAGTGATACAGTCAGCCAGATATGGAGTGGCATAAGCAACCACACACCATCGAGCAGATTAATACTTTGGAGGTTTCCAAGCACTCGCCAGCCAATTATAGCCCACCCCAACTTCCTGGGTCTTGTTCGGGTTTGCATTAGAGGAACATCCCAATCTAAAGTTGTTGCACCCCCCATTCAGCAAGCCTAGCCCCCTTGCCACGGTTGTCCTGGGGTCCGCTTAAACAGGAACCCTACTTTGTATGGCTCTATGAGAAGGGACGCGTTGCCCTTTGTCCATTAGATTTGTTGCAGCCCAGCGTTGCAATGGTAAAGGGGGTGTAGGTTTTCGCATTTTGCGTGATCTTGGGAATATTTTTCAGACTTTAAATAGTTACGGGAACAATGCGAGTCGTCCGCATCGAGCTGAGGTACCATCTATGAGGTGCAGCCAAGGGGCTGGAGGGTCGGATTTTCGATACGGAGAGTCAATGAATTTGGTGGCACCCTCGGTTTCGACGCATACACATGTTTCCCTCGTTGGTTTCAAACATGGCCTTTGGAGTGTCAAGTGAGTTTGTTTCCCTTGGTAGGGGTGATGTCTTGAAAGGGGAAATGTAGGGGTCCCCTTTGGGCTTCTGCACGAACCGGGGGAGTTACGCGGGTTGCACGCTGCTGTTCAAATGGCTGGAGGTGATACCCAGATTTCCCAGGAGGTGGGGTGCTGTCGTTGAAAAACAAGCATGTTCCTGACAGTTCAAACTTTGAGCGGTGCCAAACTCGTCCAAAGGGCCGCAACCTGTGCCGTCGGTTCAGTTTTTTCGATGGCCGGGTGGGGCAAAGGTGACTTAGGGTGAAAGTAGATGGCACAAATCCCTACATATATATATATATATATATATATATATATGCGGGTAAGCAAAGAGGACGAGTGACCCAAATGGGAGAATTGTGCCATCTAGTTTCACACGTGCAACTGTATACCGGGAGCGCCACAAAACCGATGCCACGAGGCAGCGCGGTTCACTGGCTTGCTTGCATGCCTAGTCGCAGTCCTTGGCTCCCTTTGGCTCACTTTTCCTTGGTTCCTTTCGTCAGTTTGGGAAGATCGGTTCTCCTAGTTAGCATCAAACCCAGAGCAAGCACGAGGAGTGAGGCACAGCATTTGTAGTTAGTTGCTCAAGGCATTGCGCATCGACCCACGATCAGCTCAGTTGTAAATAGGAAGTCCGGCCGGCTTTTGTGGAGTCTCAGGAAGTTGGATTTGCTACTGGAACCTTCTTGGAATGTTTTTGTTTGAAGCTCTCTTGCCCAGTGCTTCAGAAATGCCAGTGCATAGGTCACCTTTAGTATTTTTGTTTGCGAACTTCACATGGTTGGTTGCCACTCACTGGAAGAGCTCGGTTGGATTTCTCCGAAACCTTCACTTGGGTATGTGTCAAATTTGGTGGACCCCGCAAATGGATTGTGGTCTTCCGCTGGTTCCCTGTTAGCCCAAGGTGTCAATTTGACGTGTACCTAAAATCGGACGATTTCACATACCACATGCTTATCAAATTGAAGAGACCTCCAACTACGAACCTCAGACACAGGCACACTCGCTTGGGAATGCCAGGCCAAGCTCTTGGAGTATAGCGCCAAACGCCTCTCGGCCAAATTCGACGTAGCGCGGAAAGGCCCCCAAGTCCGGGGCGGCCCTGAGGTAAGGTTCCACCAGGGTTCCACGAGGGTTCCCACGAGGTTCTGCGAGGGCTGCGGGGTAAAAAGAGCACCACATGCTGTTGGGGATATCACCTGAGCTTATCTTTTTTGCTGGGGGTTTTGATCGTTTTTTGTTTTTCGTTTTTTGTTGCTGTTTTTTTTTTTTTGGGGGGGGGGGGCGGGGGGAGGGGGGTCGTCCCTAAGTCTGAGAGAAGCCCAGGGGAAGAGCCACAATTTCCAGGTCTTGCGCAGCCGTGCAGCGGGTGGTTTCACACACTAAATCAAGGTTTGTTTGGCGGATTCCCACTCCTGTTGTCTACCAGGGAGGAGCAAGGGCAACAGGGTTGGACATTCACATGGGTGTATCTTTTATTGGGAATTCTTGTTTGTTTTTTTTTAACGGGAGACCAAAAGGACAACCACCATGTCGAGGGTTCCGTAATTTTAAGACAAGCTCACGAACCTTCATTTTGGAAGCACACGCGGCAGACTTGATGCACTTGCCGTGCCTGAGGTTTGAAATGTAGCCCACAGAAGCTCATGGGTCATGCAACAAGCTGCGGGTGGTTCGGGTGGTTCTCCAAGCAGGTTTTTGTTCTCCAAGTAGGTTTTTATACCTTGTCCCTAAAAGTTAAAACCGGTTTTCAGACACACCCATATGCTTGGCTGAAAGGACAAAGTTCGGGCGCTGTGTTCAGTCAAGGCTGCACTTTTGGGGGATCTCAGCGCGTTTCAGAATGTAAAGCTTAGAAACACACACACACACACACTTACACGCGCTTGAGTGACCAGAGGCTTTCAGGGCACCCTTCAGCGCACCTTAGATCACGCACTCGTTTGTACAAGCCACACATCCCGGCGGCTGGAGAAGGTCAAAGGCCCTACAATCTGCCCCAAAACTTTGCGGGTTCCCGGAAAATTTGCAGGGTTTGTGAAAATGGCCAGCGTTGGATCTCGCATCGTTTTGCATGGCTCTGCGGGGGCGCCCGGCGTCCATTTGCCGCCGATCGCTGAGGGCAGATGGCGGTGGTCTGGTGCTCTTGCGAGGTGGGGAGCATGGAGCTGAATGCCCTGCGCGTGCAGGTTTGAAGGCTATTTGTTGCGCAGCCCCAATTGCCAAAATATCTCAGTATTCTAGAGAGGATGGCTTCAACATAAAGAAGAGCAAGGACCCTAGAATTCAGAAACACGTTGTGGCATATTGTGTCACAATTGGCTATTATTTACAACCTTGGACCACTGCCCAAATCCTGCAGACGCGCGTGTCTTTTCCGATGGGGCAAGGATATGTTAAGTATTTGTGTCTTGTTCCTGTGCGTGCCTTGGCCCACCTAGCAAGTTGGGGTGTGCCCCATGTTGACCTGACCGAGATCCTTCACTCCCTGACAATAGACGACCATGATGAATTCCCAGCTGGAATCTCCCATGCTTTTGTAGATTGAGATCATGACTCTGGTACCCACGTCGGCAGTTTAGTGATAGTCACCTATGCATAGGCCGAACTTCCCACGCAGACTCTGGGCTTGATGGATTCAAAGCTTGCAACGGAGATCCCTGGGAATGTCTGAGATTTGTTTTGCTGTGCCGTGGTCAAAGCTCGTGACAGGTCGCAAACTCGAAAGACTGTTTTTAGTGAGGGTCCTTCTGTTTGATGCCAACCCATCAAGCACGTGCCGAGTGGTCGCGTTTTTTTTTTTTTTTGGTGTGTGTGTGTGTGTTTGTGTGTTTGCGTTTGTGTTTGTTTGTTTGTTTGTTTGATTGTTTTTGTTTGTTTTTGTTTGTTTGTTTGATTGTTTTTTGTTTGTTTGTTTGTTTGTTTGTTTGTTTGTTTGATTGTTTTTGTTTGTTTGTTTGTGTGTTTGTTTGTTTGTTTGTTTGTTTGTTTGTTTGTTTGTTTGTTTGTGTTTGTGTGTTCGTGTTTTTTGTTTTGTTTGTGTGTTTGTTTGTGTGTCTTTGTGGTTGGGCTTGTTGTTGTGTGGATTGGTTGTCCTTGTTTCCGTTGCTTTTTGTTTGTTAATTATACAGTGTACAGTCAGTTAGTTAGCTGGTGTAGTGTAATGTAGTTAGTTAGTCACGTTCGGTAGTTATATAGCTAGTTGTGTTGCTTGCTTGCTTGCTTGCTTGCTTGCTTGCTTGTTTGCTTGCTGGCTTGCTTGCTGGCTTTGGCTTTGGCTTTGGCTTGGGCTTTAGCTTTGCTTTGCCTTTCTGAGTTGCTTCACTTTGCTTCACTTTGCTTCGCTTTGCTTCGCTTTGCTTCGCTTTGCTTCGCTTTGCTTCGTTTTGCTTCGTTTTGCTTGCTTGCTTGCTTGCTTGCTTGCTCGCTTTCTGGCTTCCTTGCTTCCTTGCTTCCTTGCTTCCTTGCTTCCTTGCTTCCTTGCTTCCTTGCTTCCTTGCTTCCTTGCTTCCTTGCTTCCTTGCTGCCTTGCTGCCTTGCTTCCTTGCTGCCTTGCTGCCTTGCTGCCTTGCTGCCTTGCTGCCTTGCTGCCTTGCTGCCTTGCTGCCTTGCTTCCTTGCTTTCTTGCTTGCTCGCTTCCTTCCCTTGCTTGTTAGCTTGTAGGTCTATTTGTATTCTTCGCGTTTTGTTTTGTGCGCTGCTCCTTGGTCCGGCTAAATCCCGTTCTTGCGAGGCGGGCACGTACATCCGTACGCTCTGCGTGCATTTGGGCTTCATGCTGGGCGTCGGTGCTCACATGCAGGCAGGGCGCGTGTCATGTTTGACGCTTCAGCGAGTAGATGTGTTGTATTGTGTTGTTGCGCGAGTACATATCATATAGGGTGTTTGTTTCTTTCAGGGCATCCGTTCCGCCTGATTTCTATAAAAGGAAACTAAAAGGACGCACACCAAGTTTGGGATCCCGCTATTTTGACACATGCTCATGTTGTTTAGCAATTTATAGTCAGCTTGCAAAGGGGGCTTGCAGCCTTTGCCCCTCCAACAAAGGTTCCTTTCTTGTTGGTCGTTTGTCCAGATATTGCGATTGCCATGTGCAACCCATTTGTGTACTTGAGCCCTTGGGACAATTCACCATGGGCAGACGAAGCAGCAACGTGCCTTTATTATGTTGGTTCACAGCCAATCCCAGAAGCCACTCTCCTACTTCTTTCGTGGGAACTTTGAGCTCTTCCACATAGCTCAGTCTGCAGTACTAATTCAGTTCTGGTTCTTAGTGCCATATAATAATATATATATATATGTGTCCAAGACTTGCTTCCAAAGGACACCTAGGATGGCTCGCCGCTTCTGGTATTGTTTTGAGAGTTCTCCTCGCATTATGACTCCAGTTGTTGCGAGAAACCGGTGACTTCTCAAAATGCTTGTGTGTGGTTGTTGTGTTTTGCAGTTTCTCCTTTTGCGGCGCTTGTTTGTGAGGAGTAACCCCTTGAAACCCCAGTGTTTTCAAACTACAATGCCTTGCTTGGGTCTTACTTCAACAAAACGGAACGGTGATGGGGGTGGGAGGGGTTGTACTGTGAACGGCCAAAATCCTGCACCAAGGGGGATGGATGAAGCCGTATGAATACTGGTAATCCCCACTGACGCGACGTGCTTGTTTTTCATCCACTGTACTATACTATTAATGCTTTGCTTGGTCGGTTTGGTTGCTTTTAGAGTTGGTTGGTTGAGTACCCAAAAGAAACATTCAGGGCCTGATGTTGCTCATCCACACTATGCTGCCTAGACGTGCAGCTGCAGGAGCTTCGGCGAAACCGCTCCGGCGTGCTGGACGAGCACAAATACATGTCAACGCAGCTGGGACAAGAGGTATATAAGGGTCTTCGTTAGGAGCGAGGAGCCTCATACTTTGTTTTTCATTTGAATGTTGCATTGTTTGCGAGCTTGTCTGTTTGCTTGCCTGGCTGGCTGCCTGGCTGTCTGTCCGTCGATCCGTTCGTTTGTATGTCTCGCTGTTCTTTTGTTTGTCTGCTTTGCCAGTCTATTTGTTTGCTTCACTAGTTTGTTTGTTTGAGATTCTTGCTTGCTCGTTTTAGCATCGCTCACGTCGACGTCGCTTCAAGAGCGTAAACAAAAGCACTATTTGCAAATGCTGAGATAGACGTCACTTCTTCTATCAACCAATTTTGGGAAGCGATTTTGTGCATAACCTTGGGCGGCAAGCACTAGTTACTGCTTGGGTGCAGTGTCAGAGTTGGTGAGACCCTGAGCCCGTGTTCTGAGGATGCACGACGTGCTGGACGCTATGTACATGTGCCTTGGATACAAAAGAAGCAACTTGCAGTAAGCGGCAAGGGCGGCTGCTGGTTTGGTCTTTGCCTGAGCACAGGGTTTGACAGCCAAACCAACCTTTGTTTGTTTGCTTGCTTGCTTACGAGCTTGCTTGCGTGCTTGCTTGCTTGTGTGTTGGTCTTCAAACGTACCTTCCAAGGAGATCCTTTAACCCCCCGACTATCATGACCGGCGATATCAGAGCTGATCTCGTGCATACCTATGGGATTGGAATGGGTTTGCCTTACAAAGCAACCCAGCTTCACACGGCCAATTTGTGAGTGGCCAAGGGAATCTCATGCAACGTGCTAAAGTAGACGATGAGATTTGAATCCCACTGTAATAGTACTGAAGGCTTGCTCGCCTGGTGAATAGGCGACCCAACAGCTAATGTTAGTGGAATCTGATTTATTGGGCAGTATATTTGTCTCAAGGAACCAGAGATCTATGAAAGGCTGCAGAAGGACACTTGTGCACAAAAGACCTAGAGACAACCAGAGAGCTTCAAAGGCCCCATTTGCAGAGGAGCTTATAGGGGGCCATTCAATACACATACAACCCCCCCCCCCCCACACAATAACACGCTTCTCACTGACAAGAGGGGTATGTAGGTAGGATCTCAGAGACATGCTTGCGTGCGCACACGCACTGAACAAACAATCCATCATTACTTGATGCAGCAAGTCGTTTGAGCCCAATGGAACTGCACTGGCTCCTAAATTGATTCAGAGCAATAGCACGGGAATTCAGTGCAGTCTAATTGCGACAGCAATTTAGGACGATTAAGGGCCACATCCTTAGCCTGCCCTCCCCTCCTCCTTACGGCTCTGAACCAATGCGCTGGTTGCCCTCGAGCAAGAGGCACAACAATTTGCATTATCAATTTGCACTTGCCAATCGGTAGTTCCGTAGAGGTCCTTCCAGGAGGATCAACAGACAACCTTTGTGTGAGGGGTGCACAAGATTGACATCGGTTGGACAGGTACAACAACATGCGGGATGAGAAGTACCTGAGAAGAGTTGTGATGCCTTTGGAGCTGATCCTGACCAACTTTCCCAGGATAGTGGTGAAGGACCCTTTCCCGAGGTGAGCCACAATCAAAACCCGGGTAGATGAAGGTTAGTAAGGGATAATCCCAACCATAAATAGTTGCGGCCGCCTTCTTAATCCTGACATGGCTCTGGGTAGACCATTTTAGTACCAGGTTTTGATTGCGACTCAGGTGTTCCTTGTGTGTGTGCTTTGTTTTGGAGAGTACAACTTCTGGGGTTGGTGATAGGGGAAATCAAATGTAAGCCACCTTCCTTTCTTCTTTTTTTTTTGGGGGGGGTGGGGGGAGGGGGGGGTCCTCTATATTCACAATGGATTCCCTGCTTCTTTTCAAGCGCTTCATGTCGCTTTTCTTGGGGTTCCTCACGAAATTGCATTAGCCAGAGCTGGCGTCTTAACTTAAAATGGTTAACCCCTTTTTGGTTGGTGGTTGAACCAAAACTAAACAAGTCGCTTTGTTGCTTTCTCTATGTTGAGACACTCTCAGATGTTCAAATGCTCAATGGGTTTCGGACCGGTAAGAAGCCTTTCTACTTGGGTTACCCAACAAACAAAGCGGGTTCCGAATCGATGTTCTACCGAACTGAGACACGGGTCTGGGAATAAAATGAACTTTTGGTCGTACCTGCAGGGTCGACGTGCTCGAACACGCTTGCCCTTTGGTAGAATGTTTAGGTGCCTGGCTTTAATTGCCTTAGGGCTGCGCATAGGTGGAGGAGGCCCTGTTTGTCCTGTTTTGTTTGGTGGGTTCCCCACCCAAAATGGAATCAAAGCCGGATCCCTTCAACGCCGTGTCCAATCCCTAATTGCGAACCTTGATTTCGAAGCCTGGCAGAGAGATGGACGGGGTGTTCCCTCGAAAAGGGATGCCATCCCCCATTTCTCAAAGGGTTTAGGAATCCTCGGCTGCCTTGACGAAGGAGGGGTCGCTTTTACTGGTTGGATTCCCTTGACATGAGCTGGGGGCTTTCATTTACGGCAGCGTCACAAAAAGGCAAGACTTTCCAGCCGTGACTGTCGCAGCCGCAAACTTGCTTCAAGCACGTGAGAGCAATTGGGGGAGCTCATGGTTGCCTGCCAAATTGTCCATAGAATCAAGGTCCGCACCACCCCATGTTTGGCGTGGTTTGACCTCCCGTGCTCAGGATGTTGCTACGTGTTCCAACTAGTCTGGGCGGGGTGATGTTTACCGCTTGGAAATGTAGACCGCCCTGAACAGTGAACGGATTAGGCAACCATTTTGGAGGTTGGTATGTAAACAAGCTTTGGAGCAAGGGTAATACAGACGTGCCACCACCGGTTAAACTTGCTGGGCAGAATGAGCTCACTTCGGGCAACATGAGATCATGATTCAGGTTCCTTGGAGACGCCTTTCCAGTGAATTACAATATGCCCATCGGAGTCAAGCTATATTACATTCTTACAGGGGTATATATTAGTAGGGCACAGGGGTAATTACCTCCATTCGGCGCATGATTGAGCCCTGAGAGTAGCGTTGAGTTTTCCCCCCGCTCTGATTTGTTCTTTTGGCCTCGCAGCTTATTAAATCCTAGCTGTTGGAAGGTTCTAAGAAACCAGCAGCATCAAACTCTACAGGAAGTTTGCCAAAGCTATTGTTGTGATGGGTATTTCGATACTTTGCTGCATAATTTCTCATAGCTGGTGTTTTTTTGCTAGGTGTGTGAGGTCCTTTATTTGTACACAGCTTTCCTCTTAGATCTTGGGGAATGTTTGATTCACGTGAGTGCTTTTCTTCACTGCCGCCCCGGGCCCCGGCCTGGCCACATTTGTGTCACTTGTACAGGGTTGCGCGTAAGCATTTCTCTCAAGAAGCTGATGAACCAATCTGGAAGCTGATTTTGAACCTGGTGCCTTTTTTTTGCAACCAACCTAAACAACTTCCAAAACCACCAAGGACCTGACTCCATTTTTGGTTCATGTCACCCAACGCCTTGAGGAACAGCCCTGTAGGACAGCGCGGTAAACGCCATTTGCTACGGCGCCCAGCTGATGATCCCTGGCGTGCTGCGCTTTGAGCAGGGCATCGAGGCGAAGCCTCGTGCGTTGCTTGCTTTCTTGCTTGCTGGCTCGGTTAGTTGCTTTTTTGGTTGGCGGGCTGGCTTGCTGGCTGGTTGGCTGGCTGGCTGGCTGGCTGGTTGGTTGGTTGGTTGGTTGGTTAGTTGGCTGGCTGGTTGGTTGTTATTTGTTTCCGAGCCAACCAGCCTGCTTGGACTCATCTACCATTCAGTACCCATGGAATATGTTTGGGCTCTGGTTTTGCGAAATTCTCCCATCAGCTAGCTGCCATTTTTTTCCATGGTGTTGATATTACCATGGACCGCATGTGGGGTTCCATGTTGATTTGGCGGGGGTTGAGGTGATAGTGCTCTTTTGGGTAGCACGAGCTTGGATTCCCGCATTCCAGATTTTAAGGTTGCAGATCTTCAATACTTTGTTTATTGAAACAAGTTAATTTACTGATGCAGGTTCGTTGCCTTTGTCGCCCTTTCGCCGATGCCCTCGCTCCTAAACCAACTGCCAACCAGCCCTAAACAAACCCTTCGCCAATCCTAATCCAAGTCTAAACCCAGCAACCAGAGCCAAACCCATCAACCAGAGCCCCCCACCCACCCACCACAGTGCCTTTGTGCGTGTCTGTGTGTCTGTTTGTGTGTGTGTGTGTCTGCTTGCGTGTGTTTGTGTGTGTGTTTGCTGTTTGCGTGTTTGTGTGTTTGTATGTTTGTGTCCGGGTGTGTGTTTGTATGTGTGTTTGTGTGTGTATGTGTGTGTGTGTGTGTGTCTGTGTTTGCTGTTTGTGTGTTTGTGTGTATGGTTGTGTGTGTGTGTGTCTGTGTGTGTGTGTCTGTGTCTGTGTCTGTGTCTGCGTCTGTGTCTGTGTCTGTGTGTGTGTGTCTGTGTCTGTGTCTGTGTCTGCGTCTGTGTCTGTGTCTGTGTGTGTGTGTGTGTCTGTGTCTGTGTCTGTGTCTCTGTCTCTCCGTGCGTGCGTGCGTGCGTGCGTGCGTGCGTGCGTGCGTGCGTGCGTGCGTGCGTGCGTGCGTGCGTGCGTGCGTGCGTGCGTGCGTGCGTGCGTGCGTGCGTGCGTGCGTGCGTGCGTGCGTGCGTGCGTGCGTGCGTGCGTGCGTGCGTGCGTGCGTGCGTGCGTGCGTGCGTGCGTGCGTGCGTGCGTGCGTGCGTGCGTGTGTGTGTGTGTGTGTGTGTGTGTGTGTGTGTGTGTGTGTGTGCGTGCACTTTGTTTGTTTGTGTGTGTGTTTGTTTGCTTGTTTGTGTGTGTTTGTTTGTTTGTTTGTTTGTTTGTTTGTTTGTTTGTTTGTGTGTTTGTTTGTTTGTTTGTTTGTTTGTTTGTTTGTTTGTTTGTTTGTTTGTGTGTGTGTTTGTTTGTTTGTTTGTTTGTTTGTTTGTTGTTTGCTTGCTTGCTTGCTTGTTTGTTTGTTTGTTTGTTTGTTTGTTTGTGTTTGTGTTTGTGTTTGTGTTTGTGTTTGTTTGTTTGTTTGTTTGATTGGTTGGTTGTTTGTTTGTTTGTTTGTTTGTTGTTGTTTGTTTGTTTGTGTGTTTGTTTGTTTGTATTTGTTTGTCTGTTTCTTTGTTTGTTTGTTTATTTGTTTGTTTGTTCGTCTGTTTGTGTGTGTGTGTGTTTGTGTACATGTGTGTTTGTGTGTTTGGGTGTTTGTGTGTGTGTGCGTGTTGTTATTGTTGGGTGTGTGTGTGTTGTTTCTTGTGTTTGTGCGTGTTTGTGTGTGTGCGTGGTTGTGTGTGTGTGTTGTTGCATGTTTGTGTGTGTGTGTGTGCTTGTGTGTTGTTTGTTTGTGTTTGTGTTTGTGTGCGTTTGTGGGGTGCTTGCGAGCGTGTGTGTGTGTGTGTGTGTGTGTGTGTGTGTGTGTGTGTGTGTGTGTGTGTGTGTGTGTGTGTGTGTGTGTGTGTGTGTGTGTGTGTGTCTGTGTGGTTGACCTTCAGCCAACCAACCCAGTCGAGCCCAGGTCACCGTTTTAGGATCTAGTGCTGACACTGAGCAGCTGTTTTCAGACGAAGCGCCCTTCACAGTGCTTTAGGGGAAAACCCTTCTCGGGAGAATCGTATTAGGGGTACCCGGGCTGCCCACGGTCCTACGGCGGTTTGAACCAGACATTGGGTTCTATGGCAACAGCTCGCAGGTGGGCTCGGAAATCGTAATGATGACCACCAAGGGTGAGGCTGGGATGGGGCGAAATACGTCGGAAGGACCATCCCTGATTCGGTACCTTATGGAGATTGCCTGGCAAATCAGCGCAACGTCAGCTTCTTCTTTTTTTTTGGGGGGGGGGGGTGCGAAGTCACCCATGATCAAAGTTTCGTTCATAGGGATCCTTGTTGGTCGCTGAATGAAACACTTGGTTGGCCCCACCCTGATGGGAGCCTGTGAAGTGGGGTGCAGCTCGACTGATTTTCCCGCAGCGATGGGCACGAGTATGGGTCGTCGATTGCTGTTGTAGGTGGACGAGTGCTGGTTTTGGTTGGTTCTCTATCAATTTAGTGTGAGTTTGATGCCTTGTTTTGTGGCTTTGTCTGAGTGCCTGGGCTGCACCAGGTTGTTTGCACTTGTGAAGGTTTGGTCTCCCCAGCCAATGCCTGACAGGCAGGTCATTTGTGCGGGGGTAAATAACATGTTTACATGTTTTGCGCCAATCCTTTCAGAGGTGGTCATGGATGCCTTTTCAAGGTATGGCATTTGATTTCACAAAAGGATGCAAAAGGGTGCAATTTGCCAATCCTGACCCCTTCTGGCTCCCGACACACTCTTGGAAAGGGCGGCTTACAACCGTGGCTCGAAAAAAGGGGGTCAATCATGCTTCCATGCAGAGTACATGGAGCCCATGTGAAATTATGTTTTTAGTTCATCCCTTCACCCCGCCGATTTGTTTGGAAACAAGCGTTGCGGATGAGAATGGGGAGTGTGGATTCCTTTTTCATCCCCTCCTCTTGGAACATTCTGGTTGGTGCTGAAGGGCTTGGAACCGAAACTTCCTGAAATCCCCATCCCCAAAAAGAACAACAACCAAAAATACTAATCAACGAACAGCAGGCCCCACTCCCCCCAAACCGAATTTTCAAAAATAACCGCCCCTTTAAAAAGCACGCAGACACAAAACACCCACGCACACAGAACTCCCACGACTGCCCCCAAACAGCCTCAAAAAATTCCAAGCCACCCCCGCCCGATCCGTCGAAGGCCATTGCCTCCGGCATCGCGCAGATGACCACCGCCGTGATGGCCTCCGTGGACCACGGGGTGGTGGCCGCCCCTCGACACAAAAATAACAAATCAGCGAGTTGCCCAGACGCACCCAGAACCGATGCCCAGTCAAAGTCCTCCACACCAGGGCAAGTGAAAGGGGATGAGAGAGTCCGGACCAATATGGCCATGGGTCAAAAACCCGTACCCCCAGTGAATGTCCGAATCCCCACTGGAATAGACTAAAATGGGTGGTGCACCTACCAAAATGGTACCATTGGTTTTGACCCACAACCATATATTTGTGGCCTACATAGACCTTCATGACTATGATGGCAGAACCAAACGTCACTTCGGGTTTTGGGCGGTGCTCACCCGGAGTCGGGCCCGTGATTGGAGCCCAGGACTAATCACCCCCCCAGTTGATTCATAGCGGAGTGCTCCAGTTTTGAGGGATTCCTCTTGGGGGAAGTCATCCCCCTTTGATTTCACAAGCGATTAAAAAGATGCGGGGGTATGACGGGAGTCTTTTAGATTCTAGGCAGCCACATGGAACCTATGCCAGCATATTCAGCTTCCGAGATGGCTTCTTATCGTTACACGGAGCCATCATGTGTTTAAGCGATCGGCCCCGGCGACACTCAGGTGATCAAGCGCGTGATCATGGAGCGTGACACCTACAACATGCGACACGCCTCAATCGGCCGCGCGTTTTTTGCTCACAACGGGCCAAGTGAGGGTTGAGTGAGGGGGATGGCATCTGTTCTATTGAAGACCCTATGTTTGACCCCCTTTGAAAGGGACAAAAGGGAACTGGGTTTCTGAAGTTGGGCCCTTTCCTCTTTGAACATACTTTATGTGAGGCCAGGTTCAGTATCCCATCAGTTATCAGTCGGCATAGGTCCCTTTGCTGATCGGTTTCACGATGATGATGCGTTTTACGCACAGGCATTTTGCTGGAACCCACTAAATCAGTCAGTTTTGTGCGCTGCACAAGTGACCTAATTTCAACCTTGCCGATTGAATCGCAATTACTTGGTTTGGTTTGTATTTTCTGTGGCGGGTTGCTCCTTTGTGAAGGGACCGTTCTAGTGGGACATGAGGAATTATTGCCCCGAAGCTGGGCTAACACTGTCCGGGTCAGAGCCTGCGGTAGGACTGCAAAAGTACCGCCAGCAACCAAGCAATTGGGACTGATTCTTTGTACAGGAGCCTTAAACGGCTTTATCGAAATCCTGGGGGGGGTGGGCTCACGTCCATGCATGAAGTCGTGCTCCCGCGATAGGCAGGTCGACTTGTTGCCTGCTCGTGTTTGCTAGTTCGCTTTGTTTGGTTGGTTTTTTCATTCCGTCCGGTTTCAGTCACCCCCAAGAGTCAGGAGCACATGACTTCCGACCTCGCAGCACGGTCTGGGAAGGTTCTCAGAGCCCTGTTCAACCATATTTGAGAAGGATCGAATTTCTTCCTGGGGTGTGGGGAGATTTTAGTGACCGCAGCAGTCAGAAGACACTGGACCCCATCCGAATCGTGGCGGGTTGCAGCCTCCATGTTGATTATACATTTGTATATACAGTAGAGGACCCCCCTGGTCTTCATTATTCAAAGGGGACCCCCCTGTTTTTATTATTCAAAGACCCCCCCTGTTTTCGTTATTTACAGGGGTGCTCCCTTATTTGTTTTTGATAGCAGCCATATGGTCAGGTTGCAATCGCCTTGTGTGTTAGAAATTTCTGTCGCAGGCGCTGGGGCTATGGCCCTCGGAGCAGCGACAAGAAGAAGCTCATCCTTGCCGGCAAGCTGACGGAGAAGGTCCGGGAATATTCGAGATCGAGATCCCCTCGAAAGCTTGGCTTCGAATTCCAACTTGATTTACCTAACCCAAGGGTGCTTTCGAGAAAGAAAAACTCAGAAGAGTTCCTCACCCCTTTCTGTTTTGGGGTTGCGGGTTGGTTTGTTGCCAACTATTTGGGGGGTTCTCAGAATGGTGTGCCGTTCTTTGCTAGTCGAAGGGAAACTGAAAGGAAACAACCCATTTGGGTGGGGGGCCGTCTTTTTGAGAAATACCCATTTGGATGGTGTTTTTGCTTTGGAAACCGTTTTGGCTTGTTTTGTTGGACAACCAACTTCGCCAAATGAAGGGACTCGCCGATTTTGACACATTTGCTCCAGACGTGTTGGTCTTGTCCCCCTGACTTCGGGTCGGTTTGCTGGTCTTGGCTCGATTGTTTTCCTTTTTCCATGTTTAGGTTCAGTTTATTTGTCGGAGGGATTCCTTTTTCATGTTTGTGAATTATAGCTGCTATGGATTATGAATGGATAAACACAGGCTTTGTAGTTGTACAATTGTCATCGAATCATCGTACCCAGGTACACTCCATTGTGGATATTGGTTTGTGCATGTTTGTTCTTTCTGTTCAGAACAGGTCACCCTGAGCGTGCTTTTTTGTGTCAAAAATAAACATCTGGAGGCATGGAATAATGTGCATCTCGAGGTTTTCACACTTTAAGCAACATGCAAGCAAGAACTCCAAAATCAACCAAAGCAAAAAACAAGATCGATATTTTTTGAGTGGTAGGATCTGGGACATGGGCCTGAGTGTGTCGTTCTCAAAGTTTTGCTTTTCTCAAGGTTTGTTAGCATTTGCATTGTCCCATTTCCGGCCGGTGTGCGAGAGCTTCTGTCTTCAAGTGCACTTGTGGAGTTCACATCCAAGCCTTGGTGCGTTAACTGATATGATATGTAAAGGAAGTTAATGTGGAAAGGATATCCAGTGTACCATCAGATTGATACCTGGTTCTTATTAAGTTCTGTCTTAAACCGGAATGGTTGAATGGATCACGCCCTTGTTCAATTGTACTAGAATTTGATAAATATATTAATAACAGTTCGTAAGGACACAATTCAGAGGTCCCAACATTGTCGAACAAGTTGTGCTTAAATGCTAGCTGATTTGTGAAGCCAGTTTTGTTTTCTTGGAAAGGAACTAATGTGTAATATGGAAATTTGCATATAATAGTTATTTAATTTGTATTTAAGATAAAGCATTGGATTGGATTTTGTTCTCATTAAATCCTATTTAATTTCAGAACGAAAAAGAAAAGAAAGAAGAAAACACAAACGAGCAGATGTTGATCCTTTTTTCTCAGTAAAACTGACAAGGAAGGAAATCAGAGGTCCCAACATCGTGGTTTTGGCTAGCCGCAGCACTACCATGGTCAGAACACGTCGTAAAACAGTGTTGTGTAGCGTTGTTGTACTCAATTCACATCTCCACCAACGCCCGCGCTCTAAATTTCAATCAGAATTTGAGCAGGATTTCAATGGCACTTAATAAGGAAATGCTTGCTCCGAATCCTACTGGAAATTATGTCTTAGATTTAGAAGTTGGGCAATATTACTAACTTATTTGTATCTTAAATGTGGAATCTAGATAGAACTTATTTCCCAATAGAACTTTACATGTTAATTAGAGTTTAAGCAGACATTGATAAGGAGCAGAATCCAATCGTCATATCATTTGTCAGATTGTATTTCAATCAATATTCTATGTCAATTTCGACTGCGCACAACATTGTTTTTGCCAATCGCATTTCTTTGCGCATTTTAAACACACTTTATTCAAGCAAAGTTCAATTTGAATGTCCATATATGTGAAACGCGCACAGACACTGTGACAAGTTTTTTTGTCTACCCCCACTCCAAGAACCCAACATATTTTGGGATGCTTTTTGAGAACTTGATTCTTCTAATGGCCTCCGAGTGAAAACCTGTCTTGTCATGATGCCTATCTTGAACGGCTAGAATGTAAGTTGATATGACGGGACACCGCTCCCAGACCTCTGGATTTAAAGCCGCCTCGTTCCGACAGGGCAAGCCCAACGAGAACACCCCGAAAGCCTGGCTGCTGGGTCAGGGCAGGCGAGATCGAAATCGGTTGGTCCTGTTTTTGGGGTGGACAAGTTCCACGAAGAGCACCAGGGAAGAAGGAAATCCTATGAGTGCTGGGATAAACCACCTACCAACTGGTGCAAGGTGGCTTTGCCCATTCCTGCTGAGGTTATTGATGGATGTTCCCTGCTGCTGCTGGATGGTTGTTTGTTTTACGCGTTTCTTGTTCAGTCCTATTGAACAAAGAACACAACCAGAACAAGCACAGGCTGTGAAGCAGGTTGCACAACAGAAGGTCAGAGTCTCCACTAGTCTTGGCTGGGGCTCTTTGGGATTCAAGTGCCGGTGCTTAGCACCCAACAAGTTGGATGATACGAGGCGGGTGAACCTTCGAAGCTCTCCTTCCTTTCACAGAGAACCCCGCGCAACGGTTTGGGCAAATTGTAGCTTCCAAAGTGGCTGGGGAGGGGGCATGGAAGGGAGATAAAGGGATATATTTTATGGCGAGCTCACCTCGGAGCAAAACGAGCTCACCACGATGTAGTTCCTTTTCTGGCGGATCCAATTCTCATATCAGGTCCTTTTCTTCTTCTTTTTTTCCGGGGGGGGAGGATTTGTATGGTGTTGGTTCATTTCCTAGAGGTTCCCTTGTTTGGGGTTTGCTGATTTATTTCTGAAATGCCACGACGAGGTGCTGCAGAAGGAGCTCGCTCCACTGGGTGGAGTGCAATTCCACACAAAAGGGATCCAGATCCAGCATCCCCTCTAAAAATCGGTCAAAGGGGTTGCTCCCCCCTTACTAAACCAGGGGGTTATGTGCTCTTTTGAAAATGGTTTGCTCCCCCGCTAGAATCCACCAGAGGTTCTGCTTCCGGGGTCCAATGGGCCTCTTGAGTTTCCTTTGCTTTATACTTGGGCTGACCATTTCAGGAAGAAGAAAAATAGAAAAACGGAAGCTCCGACTTGCCGCTTTCAGTGGAGGGAAACGAGGTCTCCGACTCGGCACATCGGGACGTGACGTCCAGGTGGAGCTACCTCCCGAAGCTCACCTGTGAGGAGGCCCAGGCGGAGATGGACGAGGCGCTGCAGGCGGGCGCAACGGATCGAACGGTTTCCTCGAGGACCGTTGGATGTCCATGGCCCCCATGACTCCCTTTTGGTCGTTCAAGGGAAGCCAGAACGGGAATGCAAAGAGATTTTGGGAGTCCTTATTTAGACACACAGCCCATATTCGAGATTTGCAAGTAAGCGTTACCTGTAGTGTGTTCGTTCAACTTGAGCATAATTTCCCCGCACAAGTCGGTTTGCATCGCGCTGAGAAAGGCCTTTTTAAAGTCGTGGGGCGAGTTTCCCCGTGTCTTTGAGCAGGCTTCCTGGCGCTTGCCCTGGTTGTTGGCTGGAGGGTGTCTTCAAGTACCCATTGGAGCAATCGTGGTATGTGTCATAATTAGGGGACCAGCCAAAACTGGCTCTGTTTCTTTTTGTTTCCATTTAGAATGAAACCGTACCGCAAAACACACACAGACAAACGCGCGCACAGACACACGCAAACACACACACACACAGACACACTCCCAGGTTGAGGTCCGCTCGCCTTTCACTTTCCAATCTGAGCAAATGCCCTTATCGAGATAAACCCAATTCCGGGTTTTGTAACCCAAAGGCAGAAAACATGTAGTACTTCGGATTTGCAACACATTTTTTTTGGTGGTTGAAACATTGACTTGTCTGGACGGTCCATGTCCATGACCAAGACAAGTCCTTCGACAAACTGCTTGGAGCAAAGCGGAAATCAAGAACACACTTGCCACTTGCCAGCAACGGCGGCCAATCTTCTTGTCTTGTTTTTCCGGAGCCCTTGATGGTGCGAAAAGAAGGGCATGCGAGGTTCTCCAGTTGCGGACAAACCAACACCTGTTGAAGTTTACCATGAAAAGAAGCCACCGTCCTCGTGAATCCGCATATTCTGTTTTGTATATGTTTTGCCCTATCCGTGTTTGTTTTTGACTCGGTTGGTTCAAGACTTTCCGAGCTGCAAAGATGCTGATATTTGAACGTGGCAGCGTGTGTGTGTGTGTGTGTGTCAAAGCCGTCCGTGTTGGTGTTTTATGGCGTAGTCGTGTCGCTTCTGTCGTTGATGTCGCAGAAAGGTACCCCTGGAGTTGACTTTGAAGGTTTGCGAGAGAGTGCGACTACTGAAGGCCCCAAGAACCAAATATTGTGTCAAACCAGAGTTGCCCAATGGACCGCTTGAGTGGAAGGTCATGGCCCCCGAGGGTGGAGTTGTTTTTTCAACCAAACATGGTTTCTACGCCCCTGCTTGCTTGGTGTCGCCCACTTACAAACCACATGACTGACGTCCCTTCACGTACCAGGCCTTGCCTAGACAATGCCCTAACCTGGCTTACATTACTTTTTGGGTGATTCAGCTGCACACAGGAGTCGGGGCATGTTCAGGAAAAAGTCTCGACCTACAGAATGGATGCCAAGAGTGACAAGTACTTGTCTGCCATTGCAAACCCCATGGATCACGTCAACAGACAAGCCAGTCTCAATGGGATGTCCTTGCACGGCTGAGACAGCAGCTGCAATGGTTGTTCCAATGTTGAAGGCCAGCGACTGTCAACAAGCTTCAATTCAGATCTGGCTGTGGGTCAAAACCAATGGGATCCCACCCATTTTAGTCTGTTTTAGTGGGGATTGGGATGTTCACTGGGGGTACGGGAGTTTGACCCATGGCCATCTATAAGCCAGCGCCGTACATTGTCCAACGGCTCGCATTGGCATGGCTTGGGCCATTTGCCTCAACGTCCGATGCTGATAGCCGTAGCTGCTCCGACCTAGTATATTTTTGATCTAGGATTGACAACTCATTCAAAAAGCCCTAGGTTGCGGGGGAAGGGGAATATCCGTGTTTTGTCATGTGTGTGTGTGTGCGTATGTGTTGCCCGAATTTAGGCAACTGCTCTGACTGTTCCTAGGTGTTTGCAAAGGGTAGCCACCACTTGTCGGGTGGATGGCAAGGTTGGACCAATGACTTTGTTTCAACATGCAGCTGGACAAGATTCCTTGGTTCCCAATAGAATGACTCAGGGTCTGGTTGTTGCAACCAAACTTGACGGCACCCTGTGCATTCGCCTCTCAAGCGCAGATGTGACCCAATCCCATTGATTATTGAATATGTGTGTTTAGTTAATTGGATTTTCTTTGGCTTTATTCCACTTCACGCGCTGTCAAACAAACATGTGTGCTGTCAAAGCTGTTACTTGGGCTTGGTAGGGATTCCTGAATAGGCAATTTCGAGCAGTCGCTTCCAAAGGGAACCCCAAAACTTCCTGGTTCAGGGAATGAGGGAAGGATCCTTATAAACCATGCCCTCTGGTTTCCTTGGAGGTACTCCTTCCCAACAAACCCCAGGCGTCATGTCCTGTCGAACGGCTCGCTTCGCAGGCTGTGGCCAAGAAGAAGAAGAAGGCGGCACCGGAGGCCCCTATGCGGCTGAGCCACTCGGGGGAGGTTTGGGGACTTGGAGGACAATCCCAAGCATAAATAAGTGCGGCCGCCTTTTCAATTCTGTACATAGTTCTGGGTAGACCATGTTGACTCACCTGATTTTTAGACTTGAGAGTTGGGAGAGGTTGTTTGCATATGCTGATGTACCACTCAGAGTGTAGCTTTCAGCAAGAAACGAGGCAATAGGGACAATGGCCCGTTTGGGGGGGTCTTGTTGGAAGGTATCCTGTTTAGGGTTCGTTAACAAAGGACATTCGAGAAAGGTTAACAGTTCTAAGAGCTGCCTTCTTGTAACTGTCCAAAAGTAGTCATGTTGTTGTGTTGGTGTGCCAAGGTTGCCCCCACAAGAATGGCAAAAGGTGCCATAACGACCAAATCACTTGGTTGCATTTTGGCCGGCAAGACATAACTGTCAGCCTTTGGACAAGTCAGTAAAATGTGGACCGACCACAGTTTGGACATTCGTTCTTTGGCCTACGTAGCCACTTTGCCCTAGAGAAACTGTTTCAGGCACTTGGACCCTTCTCGGAATCACTCCTGTCAGCCCCCATCCCGCAAAGACCCCTGGGACAAGCGTTGAGGCCTATGTTGGCCCCAGATATGGCCTTGATGACGAATCTTCTTAGTGCTTTGGGTGTGCTTCCCAATTAGGCTTGGTGTTGGGTTTGGCTTTCCGTTGTTTTTTGAGCTTTCTGATTTGGGGGCTGATTCCCAAGCAAACCGTTTCTAAGTTGTAGAGGTCTAGAGGCCAGCCCAGTATGTGCCCCCTTTGTGAGATGTCTCCATTGCGACGTTTAAACACATTTTTACTTGCAAATTGGAAGCGAGTTTGATGTTCCTTTGTTTGAATCGTTTGTCCAGTGTGGAAATGCCGGAGATGCTTCACGCGGACATATTTGGCTGCGATGTCCTTTGTCAAATTCGCGCGACGCGATGGGAGGTTCCTGAATAGTATGCAGAGTCAACCTTTGGTATCATCTCTTCCTCACCCCTGACTAAAATGATGATGGAAAGAAAGATTGGAGTCTTAGGCTTGGGGTAGAAGGTTGACCACTCGTTCATGTTGTTTGCTGCAGAAATGCACACAACATGCAGGCCGATAATCACTATTCACTATTCCCACCGGCACTTTCATCCCCTCAGCTTTCAAAGCAGACGCGGCAGTTTGCTTTCTTTCGAGCTGGTGCCCATGGGCTGCTGTAGCCCGCCAGCTTTATGGCGGGCTTACCAGTTGTACAACGAGCTCACTATGATGTAGGCCTTCTACGGTGATCCCTTTAGGAATGATTTGGCAAAAATTGCAGTTAGACGCGAGAGCAGCAGGAAACTTACAACCGGTGCTCCATTTGGGGATCGTTAAAACCCTATTTGGAGGCATATGCCAGGGCGCCTAAGACTCCATCGCCCTACCTTCAAGCATTCCCATTGAAAGGGGTGCGAGTGAATTCTTGCTTTCAAACCAGCGCAGCAGTGACTCGTGTTGGAATTGTTTGTCTGCAAAACGCTTCCGTGCGTCTTCTTTCACGTGTTTTTTGCTTGTGCCGCTCTTCACTTGGACATGCGAAGGGCAGAGTCGGCTCCGTAACATGAGGAAACTGCTTCGAGAAGCTGAAGGTGCAAAAGGAAGTCTATCATGTTGAGGGCTCCCCTATTGTGGAACACACATTGTTGCAAGGTTTGGAACAGTTTGCAGATTCCATGCGAAGCAGAAACTGTATACGTGTCAGTGGCCGAAGCAATCAGCAGACGTTGCTTTTAGAATTGGCCTGAGGGCTTGCTGCACAAGGATCCTGAGCACATGTCGGCACAAAACCCATCAGGCTGTATGGCCCCCTTCTTGGCTTCTGGGAACCCAGATGGCCCTTGACATCAGTTTCCAAAAGGCGCCCCTTTCGGCCACCTGAGCCAGAGCGAACTCTCGCAAGAGTCCGGGGGCCCGCCATGTCGCTTGACGACGAGCCCGCGGCGCCTGTTCCAGATCCGGGCGCTGCGGGCCCCATTTCGGACCCGGACATGAGGCCGGTGCGTGGTCCAACAGGGCCCGACACTACCGGGATATGCAGAGGGAGAAACGACCAGCCCTAAGCATCACTGGACTCTCCATTGAAGAAGTCAGGACCTCCGTTGGCAGGATTTTGACCTCCAAAAAGGCCGTTTTGAGGACCCACGTTGTTTACCGCGGCAAACGGCTCTTAGTCTTTCAGTTGCTGAAGAGGAGATCGAATTGTCAGTCCTTGCTCTTCATTTTGTTCCAGCAGTCATGAGCCTTAGGATATAGAAGTTCCAGTAAATATCTCTGTGCGAGCACAATTAATATATTGTTTGTCTTATTATTTGCCTCAGGAGTTCCTCCGTTCTCACATCCAGATGCCGATATTTTGTGCGTTAGAAGCATGCGTGTTTCCAGCATGTACATACACTATTTTGAGGACTCTGTTTGTCAACTGAGAAGCCCATTTACTGTATGTGCCATGGTTGGTGCTGTAATAAATAGGTCCCGCTGACCAACGGGCTTTGGTCGCCCCATGCTGGGAGTGGTCAAGCATGGGGACCTCTTCAGGTCCAGGTGTCAGATTGTGCTCGCTGCAGGAGAGTCCTGTTGGAAGTTATCAAACCAGGCTCCAAACTAGGGTCCACCCAGCAAGGCCCCAGGATGCCAGCGGTGTGGGATTCCAGCAGCGTCTTAGTGTTGGGAGGGGCAGTGGGGCCTGTTTCAATCAAAGTGAAGAAGCGTTTGGTAGTTAACAGCAGCAAATAAGCAAATAACAATACAAAGCAATAGGAAACACCAACGCTACAAACAAAACACAAGCAAAAGCACAAGCAACAAACAAAATAATTGCCGGCCTTAAGGGCTTAGGCCCAAGGGGGTTGGGGTTTGCAATCCTTTTTTTTTTTCACCCAGACTGCAGATGCTGATTGCACGTGTTTGTTTTTTTGTTGAAACATACAATCATTCAACTTCTTTTCGTTTCACCTCCCCTTTGCTGAAGAGCGAGGATGTGGATGAAAACAACTTCCCTTTCTATACTTGATTTGTCTCTTTTCTTATCTGTAAGTTAATAATACTTAAAACGAAGAAGTTAGATTACAGTTAAGCCAGATAATTATCGTGCTTCGTACAGTCATGCATTTCTGCATGTCTTGTCTCGGTCAGCCTACGTCAAATCCAGGTAGGGAGATTAGGGCAGGAGGAACACTATTCATCACAAATATCATGCCATCAGAACTCCGAGAGTGAAGGGTCATGAGTCATAAGATAGAGGCAAAACCATTCTAGGCTGTTTCTACTTATATTAGTTTCTTGGATGATGTTCTTCCTCACTCATGTCCATGCCAATCGGATGCAGGGGTTCTCTGTTCTTTCTGTTCGCCATTGACAACTTCTTAGTCTGTTCATGTCTTGTAAGTCCTCTCTTATTTGTGATGTGCTCGAAGCTGAAAGACAATATAGTCAAACACATCTCGCATGACATATCGATTAACAGTTTAATTGGGAATGTTTTGTTTATCTGCGTTTCTCTCATGTTTCTTTCCTTTCACCTCACCTCTGCTCAAAGTCAGGATGTGAGGTGAGGGAATTGTGGATGGAAGGAATATGCATTACTTCTGTTTTTTTTGGTTGTCGTCTTCAAATTGAGCGTTGTCTTTTGCGCCCGCAGTTTGAAAGTAGTGCGGGAGAGCGTCAGTTTGAATATTCACCCTGCGTCAGTTTGAAGATTTGCTGGAAGAGACTTCTTTCGCGGAAGGTTCGGGGAAGCTTTGTGGTTTATGCAGAGTTTTACTTTGTGAACAACCCTTTCGACAAAACTCGCAGAATAAAAGCTTCACAAGCATGTGCCGCGGTACGCGGAAAAAGATGTACTGAAGCCCGTGGAAGGAACCCTGCCCGTTGGGAAGAGTCCTAAGCTTAAATGTTCACTCAGGTGCAAAGGGAATAGAAACCAACGCTCCATTGTAGCTTCGCAAGTCTTAAACGGACGACGAAGTCTGACGACATATTAGAGTAGCACTTGGAAGCATGTCCCTTGCCGTCTCATGCTATTCATTACATTGGATAGAAAGAGGAACAAAATAGGACACGTATTTATTATTATGTTAAAGTAGACCAAAGCATTGACAACTGGGATTATGTTTCTCTTTTGTTTGCTTCATGAGGCCAAGAACACAGGGCCCTCCTGCCAGCCCAGCCTCCATGAGAGGTGCTCCACTCTGTCCCACAACTCTCTGTACCTACCCTTCACGCTCCGGATACGCCCCAAGCACAGCCTGAGGGGGTTAAGGTGACAGGCCCCTCTTGGGGTTCCAGTCAAAACAACGGAGGTTATGGATCTAAGGAGCTTCAGCTCAACCTCCTTATTGTTTTAGGGGCTGAACGTGTGGGAAATTTCTGGGCGGTCTTACACCGAAACAGGCGCCCGCACGGGAACGCCCATGTTTAGCAACCTGACGCTCTGAGTTGCCAGACTATCCTATTTGACAAGCAGCGATCTGGATATATACAGCCGGCTCTTCATGCAGATGACATGCCTCTTTTCAATCTGACTTAGGTCAAGCACCTGGGGGCCTTCTCTCACTGCTGGAGTCTTATAATTCTCTTCCAAGCCAGTTCAAACATCACTTTATGGATTCTCTGTCCAGAATTTCCCGTATGTGATGTTTTAACGGTATCATCTCTGGCACCTTCGCTGACACCATGTTGCAGTGTTGCGAACTATAGCTGCAAACATCTCCCTGAAATCTTTAATACCCTTTGAAAACGGGTGCTGTACCCTAATTCAGGTCTCACGACTCACAACCAACCATGTTCTCAAATGGATGCTCCATGCACCCCGATAGTTGACTGACTTGACTGGGTCTATTGAAGTGACATCCTCCAAGGGGTCCAAATAGCCCTAATGAAACATGGTTTCAAGCCCGCTCCACATGCTCACTTTGATAAGCTCAGGAATTCTGTCGTAAGTGGTCTTTGCTCCCATGCTAGTTGGTCGGAGGGTAGGTCATTTGGAGGTGTAGCTAGGAATTCCGCTTGAAGATTAGGGGCAGATATGCGTTTGTGTCAACATAGGGATTTGGATACGGACCACAATTGTGGTGGTCTTGTTGGTTTCACTTTCGCCAGCCTTATAAGGGTACCAAGCCACACACACACACCTACAACTATATACACTTAAGTGGTATGGCCCAGTCAGGCCCTTCCACCCCCTTTCCCGGTGGGCCAGGCTGCAGCCGCTCCTGGAGCGGTTTTCCCGGCAGGAGGAGCTTTTGGAGATCCTGGCCGCTTTGGCGGAATGGCTTGCGGGTCTACCATAGACTAAATATGGCTCTGAATTTTAATTAGGGACCCTTTGGTGGACGCCATGTAGGTGGGGATCCATGTCCACCAACCACTTCAAGAGGGGGTTCCCTAACAAAATTCGTAGCCATATGAAACAGATTCTGGAAGTATTTTCGTCTGTGTACCTCAGATGCAGGCCAATAATTTCTGCGTGGTCGTAGATTGAACAAGCCCACTTAAGGCTCAGTTACGCGCTGGGCCTTTGCACATGGCCACTGTGCTTCTGAGGCCGTACAAGCAACTGCCGTATCGAACTATGGCGCAGGTTTAAGGTGCAAGTCTGGAAAAGCTTTGGGTCAGAAGGAAATGGAGCCCTTTGAGGTAAAGCTACAAGTGTTTTGAATTTCTGGTGATGATTGCATTTCACCTGTTGGATTTATAGTGAGATTTGAGGTCCAGGTCTGTTGTGTCGCTTCTCGCATCTAAATGAAGACACCTTTAGCATGTCGAGGCATTGGTAGCATGTTTGGTGCAACAGTGTGCATTTAAGCTTAAGCAATGAGACTTACACGCAACAAAGCCAGATGCCAGAAGCCAATCCCCCAAGGAGCATTTTGTCAATCCTTTTGAGGAGACGCTTTTTATGTGCCCGCTTCTCCTCGGCTTTTTTTTCGCAAGTTTTTGCCATATGGCCTTCACAAGCTTTTAGTTCGGTCTCAAAGTCAGGAGGTCTTTTCTGAGTGGCGGGTGAAAGGAGACCAAAAGGATACCAACCGGTGTTGGGCCCGCCCTATGTTGAGACACACCCTTTCAACATCAGTCTATCGCCCTGTGACGCCTAGCGTCTCAAGAAGCCACGCGTCCCAAAATAAGGGTTTCTTGGAAGATCCCAGCCCAAGGTAAGGCACTTTGAGCGGCTTTGGGGGGTTCAACGGACCTCACCTACCTGGCTGGTTGCTAATACCAACCATGACTGGTTCATTTCAAAAAGAAGAAAACAGGGGATAGGTAGTTGTTAATTTTCTCCAGCAGCTGACAGCTTGAGAGCCTTGGGGTCTTTGCCCAGGCGCTGAAGTGGTTCGCAGCGGCTCTCAGGGAGGGTTTCAGAAGTGTGCGAAGGGGTTCCCGGGCTGTTCCGGCGGGATACCACCTGGGCTGCTTTGTCTTTCCAGGTACAAGCATAGAGATGCCATCCGGTACGCCATGGGGATGCCATCTCCCCTTGCACCAAAATGGTTCCAGAGTATTTCGCACACAGATTGCCATGGAACCCCGAAACTCTTTTCGGGAGCTTTAGTGAAGCACCATGTTCTTTCCAGACCCCCGGTTTGGACCCCAAGTTGGCAACGATTTCTCCCTTCGCCTGAAAAGACACAGTGCATCCGTCATTTCTGGCCATCAGGTTCGGGACATGCAGCTTCTGCTCCCGCCGATGCCAGAGGCTTGCCCGCCCCAGCTTCCGCGCGACTTGGGGCTTTTCAGGGCAAGGGAAACTCTTTTCCATGGTTGTTGTTGGGAAACATTTTACATGTTTGCTTATTGTGGTTTAGCGGGAAATCCCCAGTTAACTGCTAAATCAACCAAGTTTCGGGATGTCAACATTGTTTGGGAGTGTGATGGTTTGGCTCCGAATGAATTTGGCTGTCCAGTACCCCACAATCACACAATCACTGTTGGAATGATTAAAGCCCATGTGGTGCCCCTCTTGGGGTTATTCTCAAAGGAGGCCAACACGAAACACAAGGGCCCGCCATGCGGCCTGTGTTTTTGAAAGGCTGCGAACAAGGCATGCGCTGCATGCTGGAATAGGCACGGCAGAAGACCCAAAATAGAGAAAACGTTTACACAACAGAGCAATCCTTGAAGGAAACCAATTGGCCAACATTAGTCCTTAGACAAAATATTAGGGTATGCCCCAAGCTTTTGTGTGGGAGTGTGATTTGTGTTTCCTTTGCTGTTGTTTTCCGAGGCTTTCTGCATTTTGTGATCTATGCTGTATGCATTTGTTGACCGGATCTGCATTGCATGGGTTTGATAAATTGCAGTACTCCATTCTTTGTCCTGCTGTGGCTATCGTGGTTGTGGACTGACAATATGACCTTTGAGGATCTTCAGGACGTATGTGACGGTATGGTGTGTAGTAGAAACTTTCCCATGAGCTGTTTTTGCGTGCTTTTGGGCCTATCCGATTTGATCCCATGGAAGACTGTTTGTGGATTATTTTATTGTTTTTTGTTTGTTGTTGTGCTGTGGTGTTAGACTTCTGTGCTCTTCACTTTATATGGTGCACTAGGTCTGGAAATGTGGAAGTGCACTGAACATCACAAAATACTGTAAGTTTCGCAATAGTAAAAGCTCATGCAAACATGCACTCTCACGGTCGACAGTCCATGTTATGCAGGGTTGGGGACTATCAGAGTGCACTTGTTGTGCAGCTTTTAGTTGTCTTATGTATTGAAGCCTGCGCATGTTGTTTGCACTGGCTTTGTCACGCATTGTTGTGCAATCGTAGCACTGTTTATCCGTTTACTTTATTTGGTAGGTTATTGTTCATCACTTAGTTGTTCTAACTGGCTTGTTGTTGTATGATTAATGACTGTATGTTTTGTTTTTACTCATGCCAACCCAGTACTAGCATAACCATGTTTCCCCCTTAAACAACTAGACTTTGGCGGCAAAATCATCTCATCATTTTACTTTGTTCTTAGCATACAACTTCCTTGCCTGACTAAACCAAAAGTGCGACAAGCAACTTGTAAACGTGTGATTCGGGCCATACTTTCAATCTTGACGTTTGTGAATGCGAGTGGGGTGACTTTTCCCTGGCGAGTTGTCTCTGGCTTATGTGGGAGGGACATGTGCCAGGGGGACGAGCCCATTTCGGTCCATAACCTTCTTGCTTGGGTTTTGATTGTGGCTCAGGCCAGGTCAACACGGCCTTGAGGAAATCTAGTAAGGTGCCGGGTCCAAGAGCTGGGGCAACAACCAGGAAACAACTACGTACCTGCTTCCCAACGTGAGATAAATGCCTGGCAAATCAAGGTGGTCCTTCTGCCGACTCCATTTTGGCTCACAATTACGTCATGCCTCCGAGAGAAGCTTACTACTCGTCGAGTGCCATAGAGTTCCGAATTTTGCGGAGGAAGGCCCTACATGAGCCATGGTCAAACATTTTTGGATCCTCAAGAGCCAACCAGAATTCGCGCGGGGATGGGTGTGACTCCAAATTACGTGGCTAGGTTACACAGGTCTTAGTCTTTGGTTCTATTTACCAAGGTGCCATTTTGGCATTCATTTGCTCGAGCCAGAGCCATTTCGGGCAGACGTCTTGCGAGGTTTGATTGCGACTCACCCGCGTTTCAGGCGCGGGACATCCAGCCCTGGCTTGGCGACGTGCCGCAAGAGGGCGATGTTCAGATTCCGGACGCGGGGCTTGTGCCTACCAAGGCACCTCTTGGTGGCGTGTGTCAAGCCTCCTTGTGTGGGATGTGGGCATGATCATGGTTCTCTTGATAGGAATGCATACCATGGTTGTCTAACATGCCAGTTAAAAACGTTGATGATTCTCCCTGCCAGCCCCAAGTAAAGGGGTCCTGTGACCCGGGCACATGTAGCGCATTGGTGAGTTATGAAAAGAAAACCTGCGCTCTCGCTGTGGCGCATAACTTAGTTCGGGGCGAACGCCGCTAAGATGGCAAGAAGGAGAAGCCACTGCGCTTTGGGGAACACGGGCAAAGGTGGAGCAGCCATGTTGGTTTTCACAAGTCTCAGCTTCCGTGATCCAGCTTCGCTGAAGCTTACCTGGTAACCCCTTCCATTCCAGGGCTAGATCGCCGACGTGTCGTTCCCGTTTCGGGTAAATCCAAACGACCAGGTTGATGAAGGGTTGATGGGGTGGGGGATTGCTGCAATGCGCTTCAGGAAGATTCTTTGGAGTAGTATGGTCCGGATCAATCCCCAATTTAAATGTGGAGTAGCTGTCAATGTGCAAATGGGCGCTACAAGCAGTTGACCCGTCTTTAGTGCAAGAGTCTTCCTTTCTGCTTGATAGCAGCCTTGCACATGTTTTCAAGGCAGGCAACCACTGGACTTAAGCCACGGTTAGCTACAGTTTTGTGTAGGAAGCGTCCAGATCAACTTTGCCTGCCCTTGAGCCAGTTCGCAAATTTGTGTGGCCAGATTTTATTGTTCAGAACCTGCAACATTTGCCGAAGAAGAGCAACAACAAAAGTGTCACGAAATCTACTTGTTTGTTTCCTCCAAATCATGGAGACTTCTAGCTCAGCGGCTAAGACATTACGGCAGTTTCCGACCAATTTCCTTCGATTGCACAGGCTTCTAGGCGTTGATTTGGCATCGCCACACAATACATGCTATTTGTCAATCAGCTCTAGAATCCGGCAAGGCATGTAGGAGTCAAGGTCTTGTCACCTTGTGGACATTTGCGTTGTACCCGAACTCAAACACACAATGTATTTATCTTCTTCAATATTGCAGTCAAACATGTAAAATGTTTGATTCCTTTGTTACAAGTGTATGTGTGCCTGGAGCCTCCACTGCCTGAAATATGGAAGCACCAGCCTGGCGGAAACTAGATCATGTGAATGATGTCCACCAACGGGTCCAGTTCCCAGTTGACATGCATCCCATAGTCTCCAACACCTTTCACATCGCAAAATGTACTCATGGGTCATGACAGGCCACAAGTCATGCGAGCGACCTGGGCCAGGCGCGGGACATGGAGTTGCCCCTAGAGGCCGACATTCAGATGAACGCAGAGCCAGTGCCCGCAAAGGCGCCACAGCACCAATCTAGGGCGATGAAAGGGGAACCGAGTGTCCATACGTTTTCGGGGTCCTTTATTGATCGAACCATCTATGTTGCAAGTCTTTTTTCCGGAGTTTCGCAAGCCTCAAAGCGTCCGGGATGTTTGAAAGGGATTGGGCTCCTAGTCAATTGCACTACCTGTTTAAAGGTTGGCGAATAAAATCATCATGGTCCGGAATCGGACAACTTGTGTGCGTTGGTCCATCTTCAGCTAACTGCTTTGACATTACACATGACGGTACGTAAGATTCGAACTTAGCTTAAGAGTTGTATTGACCAACGCGAAACCAAGGGAATCGGGCCCCACTGAAGGTTTGACAGGGGGCAGGCTAGCCCCGCTTCATTGGTGATTTATATCGGTGGTTTGGGGATTTGACCCCTTGTTCTTGTCATATAATTATTTGGGGCGCCCCCCTCCAGGGGTGCCCCCCTCCTTTGCGTTTCACAGGCACACCAACAAGCTTCTATTTGCGCGCAATTTGCTTGCAAACAGCAAACTATGAGCGCGGCCTGGAAGTACTGCTAATAACACGCTAACAGCAAGCTATTTGTCATTTGGTTCCATTAGTACGCTCACACCGCAAAACGGGCCCACACAGTTTTGGCCTGTGTACTGAGGAACACAGCCATGCAGCGAAGAGGAGTTTGAAAAGTCTGAAGGGAGGCATGTTCGAAACATATACCACGCTGCTCTTCTGCACCCAAACTAACTTGTGTGTTTGGCCTCTGGCTTTCCATTCCGAATATAAACGAGCATTGCCTCCTGAAAATGAGTGGGCCACAGGAGGCTGAGGAGTGAGCCTCAAATTGACAAACCACCCAGTTGGCACTATTAGGCAGCTATTAGCTTGCTAGTGGCAAGCTAATAGGGGGGGGTGCCCCTGTACTCAGGGAGGGTGCGCAGTTTTCCTTCAACACGGTAAATTGAACCTTCTTGAATCGCGTAGAAATGGTTTTGGTGCCCGTGCGCTTGATTCTTCGCTTTTGGCTTTTGGTGAAATATGGAAAGACCAGTGAGACTGGTTGGGGCCCCTCAGCGAAATGCGTTTCCTGTCGTTTAGGCCGGGCAGATTGAAAATCAATCGAAGTGATTTCGGTTGACTACAGGTTTTCTCGCAAACACATGTCTTTTCAAAGTGAGAGTGGTGAACGCAAAACCTCTGGCTCTGGGGCCGAGGGGGGGGGCACGCATCGCGGGTGGCACCTCAAATATTTGTATGATCTTGGTGAGAGTAAGTGGAAAATCATCCCCCCCAACCCTGCCACTTAAGGGTAAGTTGGTGGTAGTCTTAAAGACCGCAATGGTTATAGTTCTTTCGCAGTCCTGCGTTTTGCCTCAGCAAACAACGAGTACTGCTTGCCGCATTCTACTGATTGTCGAGCACACAAATGGGTGACTTCGCCTGGCTCGGCACCTGTCAACTTGGGTATCCAATATAGGCCGTGCCTGTCAGGCCGAGGAGGACGGTTAGAACACATAAATATGTCAGAAACCAATGTCCCCAACCCTGCGTTTTCGGGGGCGAACCAAAACTCAAAAAACCTCGAGAAAACAAATATCACCAAAAACAAACAAACCTAATGCGCCTCACATATGAGGGAAATGTGTTTGTATGACGGGGGAGAGCCAAAGCTCAAAAAATATTGCAAACACCTTGAGAAAACCAAACAAACAGATATGAGGGAAATGTCTTGGTATGACGGGCTTGCCTTGCCAAAAGTAGTTGTCTGGAGGTTTGTGTTTTGTTGTTGTTGTTGTCGTTTTTTTCGTTTTCACGAGTCGTTTGATACCCTGCCACAGATTATTGACAGGGCGCTCAGATTTTGGACCCAGCACCGAGATGCAGATCATGGAAGCAGTCTGAAAGCACACTGCGCAGTGTGTTTGCCAAAGATATTATTCTTGGAAAGTGAAGATATGCTGGGTTAATTGGTGAGAGGGGGGGGGAGGATGCCAATTTTTATCTGACCTATGACCTTTCCATCCCTTGCCTACATCAGTCTCTCTGTCATCTCTATCGCTAACCCGCTTCTCAGAGATACCTTCTGCAGCTAATAATGGGCCAGCGGCAACGCTCACCGATTTCAATCCTCTATCTTACCCCTCTGTTCTCCCTTTCATCTCTATTCCTCACCACCTACAGCTTCCTTGAAGATGAGACGGGGGTGGAGGGCGGGGCAAGAGATGAGAGAAGGGAAGAGGATGGATAGCCATCCAACCATCTTGTTTTCTTAGTCATGTCTTAGAATCCAATTGTCTTTCATGTCATCTGGGTTCTTCATTATCATTCTCTTTCCTATCTCTTCACGTTTCTTCTTTCCTAGCCGTTGCAACGGTGAGAATGGAAAGGAGAAAGGAAATGAGATAGGAAAGTGATTAGGTAAGAGGTGACAAGAGGAAATCCCACCCGCTGGCCCGTTCTTTCCAGCAGTTACAAATGAATTCCTCTTCCTTCACCTCTATTCAGCTTCTCTTTCCCAATCTCTTCCCCAATTCTAAGTTACTTTGGGAAAGGGGGGAGGTCAAGAGAAGGGATGTGAGGGAAAGCTAGACGGGCTGGAATGTTTGGTCTCACCGTTCACTCTCCATCTCTTTCCCAATCATCTTGACCTGTCATTCCAATTCTCTTTTGTAATCTTGGGAGTGACATGCGAGGTAAGAATGGAGAAAGGGAATGCAAGATATTTTCCTGTTTTATATCTCTTGGAACTTGGAAATGCTTTTATGATAGTAGCATCTCTTTCCCTTTCTCTTCCTTGCTTGTCCTGTCTCTTCGCTCACTTCTTCACTCATCATCACCTGCAAGCGAGAGAAAGGAGATTGGGAAGGGTGAGGGAAGTGGGTGGGGCAGTGCGCTACGGGATTGTCGTGGGCGCTAGGTCGCGCATGGGAAAGGTGGTGATGTTGAAGATGCCCCGCGGTTGCTCAGGAGTGTAAACTGCATTAATGGGCCTGCAAGTGAGCGCCTCCACCACCTCTTTGAGGTCATCATAAGTCATGTTCCCGGCTTCCAAGGTTTGCGGGCGACAGGAATGGCAGGCAAAGGTAAAGAAGGCTGCGAGGCAACAACAGGCGCTGCCAGATGAGGATGCAAGAGTGCAAATGACAGATGCAGATGCCAGATGCAGTGCCAGATGCAGATGCAAGGGTGCAAATAACAGGTGGGAATGGCAAGGCAAACGGGGCAAACGACCAGATCAAATACTGAATGGCCTTATCGTGCTACGCGCCATGAACTTGGAAAGCAATCAGCAATTGCAAAAGCCAAGGTTCCCATCGCTGCGCTTCTTATGCTTCTGACCCCCAACAAACACCTCTTGTGATATAGCAAAAAACAGCATGTTTTTTTTTTTTTTTTCTTTCTTTACGTAAAACGCAGGGCTGGGGACATTGGCCTCTGAAATCTATTCATTGAAGTATTGACTTGTACATTTGCGGTAGCTGTTTGTCGCTACACTAAGCTGAAAATTGCAGCCAGGGAATTCGGGCCCCGAGGTTCCCATGTCACACACAGACATCGCATCAGCTGGGCTCATCCAGCGGTGGACAGCCCGCAGGCTCGGGACATGGAGCTGCCCCTAGTGGAGGCCGAAGTTCAGATTGAAGCGGAGCTGGTGCCCGAGAAGGCGCCAAGTTGCTGGCCATGAGGGACTGAGTCAAGGATTGGTACCTAGTTGCCCCTGGCGGAAAAGTTTCACAAGGTTTGAGCGTTGACCAAGAGACGTCCCTCTTCCGACTGGTTCGCCGTTCTCAGCTGTCAGAAAGTCCTTCGAGTCCCACCCGGCCTTGCAGCCGGGCCTTGCCCTCAACTCAATGGGAACCATTCGGGTCCTGAACTCCTGGAAGAGTTACGCGTGGTGGTCAGACTTCAACTCATCCTTTGGGAGCATCAAGGCATCTTTGCCCGGGACTAAAATGTTGGTAGAAAAGGTTCGAACCCTACGTTTATGAATGAACCTCAACCAAGGAACAGGATGCCGTTTCAGGGGTTCTCATGTTTGACCGAACTGGAAGGCTTAAGGCTGGTGATTGGACCCGGGCAATGGGTTGCATTGACCAAGGGAAACGAAGGGGAATCGGGCCCTGTGTTATGGACGATCTTTCATGACATCAGTACCCTTGCTTCATTTGTGATGTAGATCAGTGGTTTGGCGATTGGAGCCCATTGGCCCTTGTTCTTGGTGAGGGCAAAAGGGACAACCACCCTCACACGTAAGCTGATCAATGGGCGGTCTGGGCGCGATCAATGGAAACCCTCTTGTGCACATTATTTGGTCCCAATGAGTGGAAAGCACAGCCCGAGGCCTCGGGTTCCCAAAAAAAATGTGAGACTGTACATGCAAAGAGATTCATTCAACACGGGTCAAAGTGCATTGCTAGGTGCCCTAGGGTCTCCTCACACGCTTTTGCGCTGTGTTGGGTTCCACCAAACGTGGTGAAAGATAAACAGGTCACTGGTTCGGTCGGAGTGGTTCGGTCAAGCCGCTTACCCGGAATTCGCTGCGAGTCTGCCCTACACAAGCTTGTATAGATGATGAATGCCCGACCGGGGGGGTTTGAGTGGACACTGTTCGGAGGTATACATCCCACCGAATATCAACTTCAATCTATGACATCGGCAAAATATCCTCTAAAAGGAGATTCCTTGTTTTGTCTGGGATGGCATTTTGGGGTTCCTTCTGTGAATCTGGGGAGAGGCAGGGTCACTGCCACTGGCCTGAGCTTCTGGTAGGCTCGGGACACCCAGTTCCTGCTCCAGATCGCGAAGGGTGTGGAGACGGTGCCCGCCCTTTGGCGTCCTTTCGCGGAACTGGGGGTTCCCGAGGCGTTTGACTGGTTGTTCCTTCTAGGAGCTGATTTCCCGTTGAATTCATAGCGGGGTGTTGGCAGTTCTCTGAACGGGGGATCCGGAAAGAATGGGGATGTTATCCCGAAGCTTCTTGGTGTCGGAAAAACTAGGCTACAATCCTTTTATGACCCCTAAAAAGGCGTATGTCCTAGAGGCAAACCCTGACATGGTTCCAAGTAGGTCCAACTTGGGATGACGATGTAAAGGGAGCCCACAGCTCTGCTTAGAGGAGACTTCCCTTGAGAGTTAACTGCGGAAACACAAGTTCCCTGGCTTTCCCCCAGGGACACTAGAGGTTCGATGCCGGAAGCCATGGACACTTAACAAAATGGGTGTGGCGGGGGCACTAGTTGTGGGTGAAGCACGTGGGGAAACCACCAACTGCGCAAGGGGATGTGGATGTGGGTCAAAACCAACGGGATCCCATTTTGGGGTAGGTGAATTCACCCATGTTCGTCGGGATTTTAGTGGTTGGATTGGGATGAATTCACTGACCCATGGCCATGTCTTGAAACTCGAAGCCATGGCGCCTGGCTAGGAGGTGAAGGCCGCCCTCTCCCCCGGAAGCGCGGCTCTGGCAGAGGCCGGGGACTAGCAAAAGCCTCTGGCGCGTGGCGTTTTGTTTTCTTATTTTTTTTGGCGGCGACGTGTGGCGGTATCTGTAAAATCTGCCAGGAAAAAA